ACTTCCGAATCATGAGAAGAAATGGTTGCCCTATACCCTTTACTTGTCAGATATCAACTAGAATGCTATGTCTAGTTCTGGGCAGCAAGACTTAAGAAAAATGCAGAAAAATTAGAAAGGGTCCAGAGGAGAGCAACAAAAAATGATCCAGGATTTGGAAACATTGCCCTATGAGGAGAAACTGAGAGAACAGTGTATGTTAAAACTTGAGAAGACAGAGGGGAGGTATGATATCACTTTATTAAGTACCCAAAAGGCTGTCACAAAGAGGAAGGGCAAGATCTCTTCTTGATCATACCAGAGTGTAGGACATGAATCAGCTGAAGTGTCAAACCAGATTCAGGCTAGATACCAGGGTTTCCTAACTGTCAGAGCAATATGACAGTGGAACCGGTTGTATAGGGAGGTCATAGGCTCTCCCACACTAGAGACATCCAAAAAGCATTTATATGGTCATCTGAGTGGGATGGTGTAAACTGGTGTCCTGTAACAGCAAAAGTTTGGACCCGATAGCCTTCTTGGCCCCTTCTAGCTATACTATTTTATGATTCTTTGAATTAAGGACCTTACTTCCCATCTTGGAGAAGATATAAATAGATCTGTTGGCTGTGTTTGGCCCATGTCTGCAGAAGAAGAATTCTTCATATCTGAGTGGAGCTTTCCTCCTCCTCTCCCTGCACCTCAACCCCTCCCCTCCGGAACATCCTTTCCCCCATGATGGCTCTAAGGACAAAGAGAAGGTGCTGTACAGTCAGACTCTCGGCTCCAACATCACATTTCTGGGGTTGGAGCTAAGAGTTCAATCTGTTCTATGGCCATCTAGCTAAGCATCTAGCACCAGAGGGTTGTGCCCTAAAAGTACTATATTAATTAATCTAGAAATAATATGTCATTTATTTGAACAAATCAGAGAATGCATGTGGAATGCTTCTGTTCAGCCTTCCTGCCAGTGAGTAATGTCCCTTGCAAGGATTTTTTATTCCACCGCCAAGAGCCCAATTATCTGTTCTCCGCACCCCAAGTAGTTAGTCCTTCTGTAACCTCTGAACAAGTTTAGCCCTCATCTATCTGCTTTCGGATTTGTCCCCGTTAGATTTTATTTTGTTAAGCCCCCCCCCCCCCACTGCTTTTCTTGAGTTCCCTCAGGTCTGATGTGACCTCCCTCTTAGGTATAGAAGTGTATCTATTTTGGTTATATACAGATCTATAATACATGCCTTTCACAGTAAATAATACATATTTACATACTTTTCTGCTTTTTCCAAATCTGAGAGCATCTTTCAGTCATGGTCATATTAGGGAAATACAGTATTTTTTGCACATGTATATTATTGGCGTATACTGCATGATACTTAGGTATATTGTGTTTTGCTACGTATGAGCATTAGATATACTTATGCAAATTATACCAGATACTAAAATGGCAGAACATGGAACATGGTTCAGATGTTTTTATTGTAGTAATTGCATAGTTTGTGCCAGAATTTCTGGCGATCATATCAAAACCTATTATGCTTAATTTATTTTATATTTATCTTGGACTTGGATTTCCCACTTTTTGCTGAGCTTATCATCAGTGTATTCTGTCTGCAAGAATTTAACTTTTGGCTTAGGTGTCTGCATTTTGTGTGTGTTTTAATGTTGTTATTGTATAACCTTTCATAATTTCAAATAACTGTGATTTTAAGCAAAATACATATGTGAGAGCAGCAAAATATATGTATATATTTTACTACAAAAACTGTAATATATGGGGGTTGTTCATATGACATAACATCTCACAGTGGGTTATTTAAATATTTTGAATATGAAAGCCCCACTTTATGGTTGTCATGCCATGCAAATTCAGCAAGTACAGACTTTCCAATGGTTAAATGACCTGAGGTTGTTTTGACATTTGCATAACATAAACCTCAAGTGGGTTGGATGTGCAGTATGGTGCCCTTAAAAGGGAACAGCGTAAATAACCCACAGTAAGCTGCAGTGTGTCATCTAAATCCAGTCAGAGTGTTTGCAAGTAAGAAAGCAAGAAAAACTTAAAATTAATGCAATTACTGAAGTACTGGATAAATAGAAGAGCAAGAAGTCATGCTTTGAATTGGCCAACAAACATTCCAAAAATTGAACTGGATTTCCCTTGTGCATTTCATATAGAACTGCAGCAAATATTTCAGAATCTCTGAAAAACATGCATTTTTATCCTTGCTGAACAGATTGGTTTGGATCCAAAGTCTGCATGTGCAAAGTTAATCTCTTCATTTTTTTTCTTCCATCTCCTGCTTTATGTTGTGTCAAATGTATAACAAGATAGTACTTCTGGGTAGAAATTAGTGAAAAATGAATGTCACCTATGATGAACTTGCAGGAGTTATCTCTGTTTGTATTAATGGTAAACTCATCTTGGGAAGTTGTAACTGAAAAAGCTCCCCTTTCATATAAATACTTTGAAAATCTGGTGTGTTTAAATAGTTAAGTTTTCCGGATGTAGGCATTTTGTAATGCTGAAGCAACCCTTGTTGCATAGATTTTAAGGAAATCTGTTTCTAAAGAAGTTTAAGTGCTGAATTCACTTGCTTTTTAACCCCAGGGGCTTGGAGCAGTCAGGTCACCTCACTTTAGATTTGAGGATGCTTAAGAAGAAGTGAAGTCACCTGTGTCAAAGATGCTATACCATTTATTGAATAGAATGATCAAATACAAATGCAGGATATAAACTAGTGACATAAAGTTTATACTCCCCTTTTCTGTGGCCTTACAGGTTTTCTGAATAGGCCAGGGAGTACTCTGGGCCCACAGAGTTGTGTGGACATCACTTTTCCCCAAGCTGAGAACAAAAGACAATACCTCCCACCATAGATTGTATAAAAGTCCTCTTTTCCATTATTACAAATGCATATTATTAGTATGCACACAGGCAACAACCCATTTTAGGAAATGGCAGGGAAAGCCATTCAGTAAGTCAAACTCTTTTGCTCTCAAAGCAAAGGTAGACCTTACCTAGAGAATGACTGAGAACTGTGGTTTCAAGGCAATTATCTCTGGTGGTCTCTCTAAGGACTAGACTTGCATGGCTTCAAGAAGGTTTTCTGGCTTTCGGACACTGGAAATGTTCACTACATAAGCTGTTGAACCTTAGTAATCTTCTTGTTATTCTTCTAGTTGAGTCCATGTAATACAGCTTGTCCCAACATAACAACACCAAATTTAACAAAACTAAATCAAAATAGGATGTTTCTGATTCTAGATTTACAGGAACTGTAGCCTTATGACATGAAATGGTTGCCCTGGAAACTTACTAGAATGCACTTGTGTCTGGGACAGGCTGTAGAATTAGATCACTATGTGAGGAAAGATTAGGATATACAGTGTACTTAGTTTGCAGCTCAGTATATAGAATTTATAAAGGAAATAATGCAAACATGAGGCGGCGTCATCGGTACAATATCACAGTAAGAATGTTTAGACCACTTGGAAAATGGTCAGGTCTTGACAACTCTACTCAGTCTTGGCAAGTAGGAAACATTCCCCAGTAAGTAGAAAAGCCTATGGAAGAATAGTGGCAGCGGGGATAAAAACATTCTTTGCAACTATTACTTTTCATGTACTAAAGTTTATTCAAACTATCAAGTGCTCAATTCTTTTTTCACATCAACATTGAAAGTAACTGCTAGGATTTCCATAACAATTTATTTCAAGTGTAGGGCTTAAAAGGTGATCAGTTTCTAGATACTTAAGGTTTGTTGATGGTATGAATAGTTGAAACAAGGTTTTCTAAAGGTAATCCTACAAAATGTTCCCTTTTCTTAAACTGCTTGTTCCAACATGTAGTACCCTATGGATAAGACACAACTGAAGAGATGCTTGTTTCTCAAAGATAGTAAGAAACAATTTCTTTTAAAATGTTCTATAATCTATAAGTAGGCAAACATTTGCTAGTGTTGCCCATTGTTACAGTAAGAAGCATACTGTAAAACTGCTTCATAGTTTCTTCAAGGACAGCTTCTGTTCCTTTTTTGGAATAGTTGCCATATTAAAGAGTTGGAGCACCATTCTCCATTATGCCTTTACATTCTGGTTTTTTTCCCCAAAGTAGCTCAAGGTTTATTTGTGTCACCAAATTGATGACTACCGTAAATTATGCAAATAGCACATATTCTTTTGCCATGAGAATTACAGAGGTTGTACAAGGCTGCTGGATTGCACCTAATAGACTCTTAATTTCTTTATTGTATACTGGTGTTCAGCTGCCTGTATTGCACAGTACTTGGCAGTAGTCTCTGTAGAAGTGATGAGCTATATCACCTGTTGCATTTGTTTCAAGAATGGAAATGAAATTGGAATTGGAATTGAAATTGGAAGGGGCCTATAAGACCATTGAGTCCAGCTGCTTGCTCCACTTCCATATACAATCATCCATCTAATGCAGCCAAACCCTTTCAAGCTTAGCAAAGGTCACAGGACATGCTTGCTCAATGTATAGCTAATTTTAGATTTAATTTAAGGGATTTATACCTTGCCCTTCAACAGCTTCCCAGGTTGATGTTAAATTAGAATAAAGCAAACACATTAAAAGGGCACAATATAAAAGAGCAATATAAAATAAATATTCACAGGATTAGAAAGCCTGAAATCAAAGAGTCTTTCGCAGTTGGAGTGCCACTAAGTAGGCTGTTTCCCTTGTCATCACTTACCATACTTTTTTTAGTGGGAACACCTGAAAAAGGGCCGCTGCAGAGGATCTTTTTATGTAGGCAAGTGGATGAGAAACAAGGAATCCTTAGGGCAGGGGTCTCAAACTCAACTTACCTGGGGGCTGCTGGAAGTAGAGTCTGGGTGAGGCTGGGCCGCATCAAGTATTCCACCACCGCGGTGGTGGTGGGCCGCTCATCCTGCGGCCGGCCCAGGCGCCGCCGGCGCTTTGAAGGCCGCAGGGCCCCTCCCCTGTGCCCCTCCCGTCCCGGCAATTGGCCCGCGGGCCACGAGTTTGAGACCCCTGCCTTAGGGTATCTGTGTGCCAAGCTGTGAAGTGTTTTTAAGTTTAAAAGCAACAATTTGAAATGAGCATGGAAACAAATTGGAAACCCATACACTTGGCAAAGTACAGGCATACAGTGATTAGGATTCCTAGCATGTGTATATTGGACTAATTATAGTTTCTGAACAGCCCAATATATAATACGTTACACAAGTCTAATCTGGAAGTTAACAAAACCAGGGGTTAAGGCCAGATTACCTTTAAGCATTTGTGCCTCCAGTTGGTTCAGCAGCCTAGGGTGTTGGAAGCCACTGTTGACACCTCCGATGTCAAAGATATATTAACGAATATGGCAAATATACTGCAGAGGAGAGGAACTTCCACCTCATTGCCAGTTCCTGGTGACCGTGTCAGGAGGATTGCTCTGTTCACAGTTGCTTGAGACCAAGTGACATCAGGGGTATGGCCCATGCCCTTTTGTTATTCAAACCACAGAGTGCTGATGAAGATCATCTGTCTACCCATCCATTTTGGTTGCTCACCACAGTGCTACTACGTGGTTCACAACATCATCCATCCGTAGGCTGTGCATAGTATTTTACCGTGAGAAAGACAAGGAAGGGAGACCTCAACCCTGTGCTAAGGACCTCTTGAACTGAGTTAGGCAAAAACTGCAGTGTGGTCTCTCTCACTCTCTTTCTTGCTTAGCACACTTTCTCACATTTCATTTCACAAAGCACATGCCTGAACGGGGAAATTCTATGTGAGAAGCATCCTTTGAAACATCTTTACCTGAGATCAGTGAAGTGGAAACAGGCTCACCATGGAGCCTACTTAGACATTCTCCTAGTTTGTGCATTGCAAAGCTTATTTTGAGTTCTGTCTTCAAGGTCCTGCAGCCTTGGTGCTGGGACTTCAGAGGTGGAGCTCCCCGCCCCCCCCAAACACACAATGACCCATGCTAGCTGCTTCTTCAATGTCGGAATTTGGACTCAGAAGGAAAAGGATGTGTTTTGGGGGTGGGGAGCAGGCTGATACCAGTGGTTTATACCATATTCAGACAACAGGGCAGTCTCCTCCTCCCCCTCCATGCCAGTTTATCTAGACTGCCAAAAACTGTTGTTGAGATAAAATGTAGGGTGCAAGGTCCACCAGTGAAAAAGATCACTGTCACCCCACTCTGTATATTGAATGCTAGTAAGCCTGATGGTATGGTGGCACTGGATTGTGCCATATGATGTTGAGGAGGAGGAGCAGATTACTGTCTCCTGATCAGGTTGGGTTATATGGTATGTTAGGTATGCAACAAAATATGTAAAGCTCTTCCACATACTGAACAGAATGAATGAGATAAACGAGAATACATCTAACTTATTCTACAAAAGATTAACTTATTTGTCTGTATCATCATGGGTCAAAAATGAACATATGAAATAGAATAATGAATACTTTAAAAAACCTGATAAATATTATCCTTGGGTATAAAATCATGGAATTCATCAGTCTTACAACTGATTGTGGTTCCTACAATTGTTCAGCTTCTTTAACAGGAACTCCAGAAAAAGGTATCTGGATGAATTCTCAAGTAGGAAAGCCAAGTAAGAACATTGTCATTGCTTCTAGAGAACCAGAGGTACCAAAAGTCCCAAATATCACTGGGTTAAACAAATGTCTGCCTTTTTTTCTTGAAATAATGAGGCCAACTGCTTCCTGTTTGAGCACATGACTGCGTTCAGACAGCACAGCAAGTCGTGATGTTTGTTTGTTTTTACCATTGCTGATCTGTCATGTTGTCTTGAACCTGTTCATGGTATTTCACCATGCTAAGTTTGCTTTGGACCGTAAGAAACAATGGCCTGTTCTATGGCTTCTCTGCACCACCATGGCTTGTTGAACTGAGCATCATGGTTTCCATGGTCCTGGTATGCAACTACCGCAGAGTGCCCTAGAAAAAGTACTAACTGCAGAATGGTTAGGGGACTGGAAACAAAGATCTGTGAGGAGAGACAGAAAAAGTTGGACATATTTGGCCTTGAGGGAAAAAAACTGAGGGGAGATATGATAGAATTCTTCAAATAGTTGAATTATTGTCACACAGAGGAGGGCTAGGGTCTCTTAATCATCTCAGAGTGGAGGACATGGAATAGTGGCTTCAAGAAGCCAGATTTTGGCTGAACATCAAGAAAAAACTTTCTGACTGTTACAGCAATATGTCAGTGGAACTAATTACCTGGGATGGTCATGAGATCTTCCTCACTGAAGGCATTAAAAATGCAACTGGACAAGCATTTATTAGGGATGCTTTAACTTGGAGTCCTGCATTGAGAAGGAGGTTGGACATGATGGACATACTGGCCCCTTCCAACTCTTATGTTTCTATAATTCTCTCAGTTCATCCACACAAGCATGAAACCTTCCTCAGATCGCTCCCAGATGCTTCTCTCAGTCTCCACAGGCATCTGCTGGCTGGGTTGCCCTCCTCTTAACCCTTTCTGGTTTGTCTATATCTTTTGATGCCCAGAATGGGCATAGTATTCAAGATGAGGTATAACTAGTGCTAAGTAGAGGGGAACCAGCACTTCATGTGATTAGGAAGTGAAACTTATATTAATGCAGTCCCAAGTATTCATGCTACCTGCCTGTACTCCTCCTCCTTGATCCCCACAGTTGGCCTTAGCCCCCTGACCCCTCCATTGCTTTCTTTAGTCCCATTTTCCAGGTTACAAGAGTCACATTTTTGGTCACCCTCTTTTTCTTGGTGGCTGGATGCAGTGCAAAGAAAAGCATCTGATGCCCACTTTCTTCATTTCTTAAGAATGTCTCTTCACTGCACATGTGGCCCAGGAGCAGTCACAGGAATGAAATTGGCAACAGTTGTGGACACTCATTTTTTTCAAAGTGATCCTAGATTCTGGTACTAAAACTTGTTCATTTTTTAAAATTAAAATGAAAAGGGTAGGACATCTTAGCAGGCATCAAGAAAGGTATCTGGAGGCACACTTGTGCCTCCTGGCACCATGTTGCCTGCTCTGTTTTTAGAACCGCTCTATTGAGTGTCCCCAGACTACTGTAACTTATTACTTAATAAAACTACTACAACTACTTAAAAATGAAGAAGAAAGTTGTAAGGTTGGTCCATTTTAAAAGAAAGCAAGAAAGAGTCTACGGTACCAAGCCCAAGGTAGCCAATGAATTCCCATCCCCAAAACAGTTTCCTAACACATCCAGAGGACTCTGGAAGAAGCCTCTGGAAGTATGCCTTTACTTGAAACCAAAGATATGTGGTACCTTTAATCCTCTAAATTGTTGCAGCATATCTGAGAAAGTTATGCTGTTCTACAGAAGCATCTAGGTGGTGCTATCCTGTGCCTGGGAGAGGAATTTACCTAAAATGCTGCCTGTGGGCTTTCACTGACTTAAGGAAATTTTTCCATATGTAGTCCGGTTATTATCTGAACATCAGTACATTCTAGTCCATTGACCTGGTTCAGTCAGTGGTGTAATAAGCCAGAATATGCATGGCCTTCATGAAATCATATGGAGCCCCTTTGGTCCCACTTTGCTGCTGCTTTGCTCAAATAGGGAAATAAGCCATGACTTCCTGGAACATTCACACTGAAAAACTATGGGTAATGGTATGCCAGGATATGAAGCCATGGTTTAAATTTGGCTTTTGAATTCTGGATTTTTCAACAAACTATGATCCATACTTTCTGGATAAGGTTTAATTAAAAGCTATGGTTAAGTGCAGATTCCTGGCTTGCTTAATCACTTGAAGAACTTAGAAGTGGGATCAAAGAGGCTGCATATTTGTGCACAAAGCTCACGCATATCCTGGCTTATTAAGTTTTGATTAGAAGACATGGAGATTACATTCTGTTAGTCTACATTTGTTGTTATTTTTGTTACATGCTGTCAAGTTGTCTCCAGTTTATGGCGACCCTATGAATGAATGCCTGCCTGAATGTCCTTTCCTTGACAGTCTTGCTCAGCTCATGTAAACTCAAGGCTGCGGCTTCCTTTATGGAATTGATACAGCTTATGTTTGGTCTTCCTTTTCTACTGCCATTGACTTTCTGTAAAATTATTGCCTTCTCCAGTGAGTCCTGCCGTGCCATGATGTGTCTGATGTATGACAGCTTCATTTTTGTCATTTTGGCTTCCAGGGCAAGTTCTGGATTGATTTGATCTAGGATCCACTTGTTTGTCTTTCTGTCATTCCAGGGTATTTGCAAAGCTCTCCTTCAGCACTATGTTTTGAACACATCAGTTTCCATTCTGTCAGTTCTCTTTACTGTCTAGCTTTCACACCCATACATAGTGAATTAGTCTGCATACCTTTTGTATTATGTATTATATTCAGTGGTGGTGGGGGCTATTTTAAAATCAGTAGGGTTCTCTTTGCCTTTTTCTATGAACATGGAGAGTCACCAGGTAGAAACCACGTATTCAGACCAAACAAGAAACAGTAGTTACAGAACTGAACAGAGTTTTCCTATGAGATGATCAGTAAATTAAAAATAAGCTAATTACAAATGGATAATTCTAACTTATATCAGTTCTACATTGGAGAGCATTAATTGTATAGCGACTTGATTCTAAATACAAAGCATTCGCTAATCCCAGCAGAACTGTTTTATAACTGAAGACCAAGGCACACAAATCCATCATACAGTTGGCAAACTAACATTGATAGTATTTATTAAACAAGTGTCATATAGTTTTTGCTTTACTGCAGACAACCACATTTCATAGTATGTATACAATAAATTATCACTTGCTATATATATCTACATTGTACACTGACAAGCAGAATGGCTTACAGTGTTGGTCCTTAAATACAAGAGTGGTTTCTTAGATTTCCAGAAAAATGATGAAAAGAAAATATTTACATCCATATTGGCAGATTCCCCATGTATATTCAACGTGAATGCTGGTGCTTATAAACGTGAACCAAGACTACCCACAAACCAGAGCAAGGTATTGGCAAAATTGGGGGAAACTCCAAGGTTCGTGAAAGTGCATAAAAGCTGAAGAGGGGGGAAAAACCCTATTGTGGGGACAGCGAAAACAGCTTGACGAGGACGTAGCATGCTGACAGCAGACTGCTGAGGGGTGGCAGGAAAGTTGGTGGGTGATAGAATGGAAGAGGATATGGCTGGTTGGTATCTTGAGCAGCAGTCCATATGCACCAATTTGTTGTAGGTCCACTTTGTGGTTATTAACTCTAAGCCAGACTTAAAGTTTGCATTTCATTATATGAAACTTTTGTACAGGATGGGATAAAAATGCTCCAAATAAATAAATAATGCTTTGCAGAATGAGTTGCCTGATAAGGTGATTTGTGCCATAATATGCTCTGTTGTAATCATGTTCAGTGCTCAAGAGGTCCATTAATAATCTGAATCTGATGATGACCCAGTGAACACAGGACAATTACTGTCATCAAAATATTCTAGTAAATAGAATAATCAAATTTCTGTTTTTTAATGTATGGCAATATATATGTATATAATAAGAACCTCAGAACTAACCAATTCTTATAAAAGTAACATCCTGCATTGAAACCTTTCATCTGGAAACATTGTTACCTCTGTAAATGAGAATACTTCTGTTGTTTCTTAAAATGTAGGTTAATTCAAATTATTTAGTATTACTACATTCCCAGTGATTCAAATTGGCTTCTACTTTCTGTGCCATTGGTACAGAGCCTCTCAGCATAAGGGCAGCATTCTATTAAACAAGATCTGCTGCTGCTGCTGCTACTACTTTCAAGAACTTCACTTTAATGATAGGTTGAGTGGAAGGGGAAAGGGGCAGGACCAAGAGCCAAAAAGGCAGAACTAAAATACCATTCTGTTTTAGCTTAAATGGCTTACTCTTATTAAATATGCCTTAATTAAGTATTCCACACTTTCAGAATGTGGTGGTGAGGAACTGGACAAAAGCTAAGAAAACATCAAATAACAGGTGGTTGGAGAAAGGGACATCCACAGATGGGATCCCTAGTGGGTTGGATTGGCTCCTCTGGAGGGATTTGGCCTCTGGGTTTTGGGTTTTGTTGGTCTGTGCTGTGGAAATGCTTGAACGGATCATTCATATACATATCTATTTAGAACTAAGCCCCACTGAATTCAGTGTCCAAGGTAAGTGTAAAAATTGCAGCATTTTCCAGTAAAAATGTGCTTTTCCATTTAAAAAAGCCCTCTCACATTAGTAACTCTGCTATTTGGCATGAATTTAGTTGCTGTTTTGGGTAACCTAACATGCTAGTGACTTTCACAGCTGCTGTGGATTATTTTTATTTGTAAACTAGGCCAGCTTGACTGCACTCGGGAACCTGTCTTAAGTAACTGTTACCATTTAACGCCTCTCTTTACCTTGAGATGTAACAATAGCTTAAGCAAATGGAACCTGCAACAAAAGGTTGAAGTGTGGTGTGCTCTTGTTCAGTGTTCCCATGAGTGATGTCCTCCATTAGGATATTAAATTCTGTTTTTCTTGTTATTTTCCTCAACCAACAGTCATTCTGGGGATTCTGGGAAAGCAACCCTAGCTAAAGTCCCCCTGATGCAGTCTGGTGGATTCCAGGAATTGTACTTTCTTTAATGGCTCTGCCTAGAATCTACTGCACTGAATTTGCTGATTCTGAGATGAGGATCGAGAAGACACATAGGATGGAAAAACGTCTTCCTTTTGCCTTTGATACTACTGCTTCTGTTCTTAAAAACAGGTGGTGGGAGGGAATGTTAGTAATAGGATGATTTGGAGAGTGGCAGGAGGGGACCTGAGCAGGTTTGGCACAGGCCATGGCAAGCCATGCACTTCTCTGAGTCAGACCATTTCACCTGATACTGAAAATCCACAGAGCCCAACCAAGAAGAATCCTAGTGAAGTCACCTATTTCTAGCACCAAATCAATTAATTTAGAAACTCTAGCATGAAACAGTGAAGGTGACAAATCTATTAAGGACTCACATACCCAGTAATTTCTAACTAAGTTGGAAACAACATGTTGATTCAGGATAGACTGGTCAACAATCTTCTCTTACATTCCTTAGACGAACTAGATGATTACAAGGGAAATGAGGGATACTCTATCATGTATTGCCCTTGTAATGTTAATGGGGATAAATAGGCTTTTGCTGGGGAGGATTTATGATGAGAATGGGTGCTTAGCTCTTTCTCCATGCTGACCAATCATATATGCCTTTCAGGCCATTTTTAATCCATTTCCCCACCCCACCTTCAGAAGTATGAACATCTTACTAGGCAAGGATTTGTTAGTGCAGAAGGGATTACGTATTCACCAATCTCCTCCTAAATTTTCTTCATTGCATTCCCATTCGCCTCAGTAAATGCAAGCCTGAGAATATCCTTTTGAGAAATTGCCTGGTTCCATCTTAAATGTCCAACTTAATGTTGTGTGTGTTTATGTGTGCATGTGCATATGTGAATGTATACCTGAAGAAACACAAACTTACATTGTCTTGCAGAAGTATTCACCTTCTGCCCTTGGACTTTTCCACATGTAGTTTCCTGGAACTGAAATGGATTTAATAGCACTGGTACCACTTGAAGTTCACAAAGATAATCAACACGGTGAAGGTGCAAAATATTTTTATTATATTGGCACAAAAGTAAACAAAAACAAACTGGTACTTGTTGGTTGCATAATTTTTCACTCCCCGATCAGTACTTGGTAGAAACAGCTTTGGCAGCAGTTGTAGCTGCAAATCTTACTAGGCAAGTCTCTGTCAGCTTTGGGCATTTGGGTCCTGCAGGGTTTGCCCATTTTTTCTGGTAAAAATGCTTTTGCTCTGTCAGAATGGCAACCATTGGTGAGCAGCAACTTTCAAGTCTTGTCACAGCTTTTCAGTCAGATTGAGGTCTGGGCTTAGGCTGGGTTAGTCTAAGTTACTCAGTTACTTGTTTTTAAGCAACACTCCAGAGTCTCAGGTCTCCTGCAGGTGGAAACAGATTTTCCTCTAGAATTGCTCTGCCTTTGTCTCCATCTTTCTTGTCCTCAATCCTGATCAATTTGCCAGTCCCTGGTCAAGGAAAGGTATCTCCATTCTTTATCATGTGGTGTTCGCAGCTCATTGAGCACTGTTGTGCCCCACATCCAAAAGTTCAGTTTTGGTCTCATTAGATCAGAGAATGTTTGCTGTGTATCTTTGATAACTCGATTTCTGATTCCAAGTCCCAGTTTAGTAAATCGTAACTGTTAGAAGTAGAAATAGAATAAAGGATATTTGTCTTGTTCCTATTTCTTACTGTCTTCCCGTGTGTCACATAATTTCAATTTTTGATTGCTTAGTTGGCTTGGGCAGAGTAGATAAACCAAGGCTAGTCCTGCTGCATTTGTTGTTCTTGTTCCTTGCTGTTGCAACAGAGGCTTGTGTAATATATCCAGGAACTTAGAGATCCGAGATGCAGTGTCTTTTGTAAGAGGCTTGATTTTAAAGCACTACTAGATAAAAATTAGTAAGAATTTAAATGAATAACTAAGCGGATAATAAAAATACTAAAAATAAACTAAAACTGATAAAACTGATAAGGTATCAGAGGGAGCTCAATGGAGAGGCTGTTGCCATCTTGGATAAAATTGTGTTTGATAACTCTTTGGCCTTCATGATGCTATTTGTTTTGATATGCGCTCCAGCACATTCTGAGGTCTTCTGGAGATAGATGTTTTTAATTTGAAATTGTGTGGCCTAGAACTGCACTCAGGCTCCTGTGAACCATCTACAGTACTCTGGAGGCCATGATTTGCACCAGAACTTATTTAGGCATGTCAGAACAAAGGGAGTGAATACTTATACAACCAACAAGTGCTAGTTTGCTTTTGTTTATTATAGAAATTGTACACAAAATACCAAACTTGTTTTTGTTTCTGACACAATAAAAATATTTGTATCTTTAATCTCAAATAACATTTAAACTTCAAGTAGTAACAGTACTAATTAAATCAATTTAAATTACAGTTTGGAACACAACAAAATGTGGCAAAATTAAAATGTGGCAAAGTTAAAGGGGGAGATTAATACTTTCTCAAAGTACTGTATATATTTCATAAAGTCTTCTTATTCTATTTAATTGCAAAACCTACAAAAATATGGAAACAAGTGAATGCCTGCTGTGTGTGTGTGTGCTTCTCACATACATATATTTTTGTGATCATGACCCTTAAGCTTACTGAAAACTTCATTCTGAAAAATTCTTAACATGCTAACAGTGGTTAACAACCTATATATGTTGATTTTCTTCAGTCTAACTAACAATTCTCGGATTGTGAGCCTGTTGACACAATTGGAGAAGATAAATGCAGAATGTTTAGTGGAGGCAGATACCACCAGATATGTTACATCAAAAATTCTTCACCTGGCTCAAAGTCAAGGTAAATAAATATACATTGAAATCAGCCATGAATTTAGGTACATTTTCCCCCCCCCCCCCCCCCAGTTCTTGGAAGTTCTGGTCATCATATCTGTCATTTTCAGAAATGTGTCTTTTTGTCATTATTTTAAAAAGTAGGAAAGCTATATTCTTAAGTTAAAATTAATAATTTTTTTATGTTAACTTCAGCTAACATTTTAAAAGGTTACCTTTTTATAATGAGGTCATACTCAAATTATTAGCCTCTGTTGCCTTTTTCTCTGACCATAAGCTCATGTGCCGATTTCTTTCGACCCTATTTTCTTTTATCTCTTTTCCGGACTTACTGACTTGGACAGGCAGGTATTCTTACATTGCTAAGCAAATAATTTTCATGGATTGGAACAAGCACCTGGTCATTTTGCAGTGTGGCTAGCTTATTATAATGCAGCAAATGGCAATTAAGACCTAATTATTATATTTTTCTTATGCCTTTAAGCAGTCAAAAGCTGAGCTAGGCCAAATTTGCACAGAATTTATCTTACCCTCTCACTGCCCTCAGATCTGATTGGTTAGTACAAATCAGTCTGTGAACTTCACTCCATTCTTTTCTGCCTCTAGCATTTCTAGATTCCTACTGAAAGATGGTATTTGTACCTTTAAGAATTGCTTGGAAGGGAGAATTTTGCTAGAATAGATATTCTCATCATAGTGGTATAAGACTGTAAGAAGCTGCATTTTCCATATGAGTTAAAAGGCCTGCAACAAACAGCCCTATTCATGTCATAGCTATTAGTTTTCCATCTTCTGTTCCTTTCATTGTCTCACTACCTATTCTTTCCATAAGCTCACATGAAGGTTTATTTCAGCCCTATTTTCTTTGACCTTTTTTTCAACGTCTTGTGACCTCTCCTAGGCCACCTCAATTTTTCTGGAAGTCATAATTTCAAGTCCCAGATTTTCAACTTGCTTTGAGCATTGTGCTACTTTCTTCTCACCTGTCTATCTGGTAGTGAGTTCTTCACTTATTCTGTTACCACAGAAGCTACTGTTTCAGTTTCAGGGGCTCTGCTTGTATCATGCTTGTAGCTACTTGGGAACCTTATCAGCTAAAGAGCAGAATTAAAAACAATGCTTAATGCACACACTAACCACTACATTTCTAAAGGTTATTTTTTGTATTTTTGTAATCCTGCTGATACCTCCCTCTTACTTGGGGATCGTGGCCTTTTAGTTATGCAAGGATCAGCACTTAGAATAAGTTTCCTGTTAGTATGTAGGACTGACTGATGCAATACTTATGGCATGTGAAGATGCATTATATTTTAGCAGATTCAGGCTTGAATGTTTATGAAATACAGATTCATGAATACTGAAATTAGTTTACTGATGTTTCTTTTATGTGTTTAGAAAGCTGTAGTCTGTTCTATACCTTTTAGCTCATACATATCTGAAATTTTCTACTTATAAAATTGCGCATATGTATTAGAAATAATAATCTTTAACTTTCAGAAAAAATCAGGAAGGAAATGACTGCCAAAGGTTCAACAGGAGTAGAAATTCTTCTCTCAACTTTAGAGGTAACTTTAAAAATATTTTATAATAAATCAGTGGGCCAATATGTTTTGGGTTGGATTTCCTAAAGCCTGGGTCTCAATTGTATAGTCAGAGCAGCATCTTTACTCACACAATTTTGAAAGGCTTATTAAAAGTAGGCAATTAAATGTCTTACTATGGCAAAAGACTGAAAACTTAAAAGCTGATGATATATTATTTGAAATAAATTACATCCTTGCTTATTGGCCACTATTGAAGTTTACCACAGTAATTTTAAACCTTGGGTATAATGCAGCCAAAAACCCTTTGAAGTCCCATTGATGTCAGATATGATGTCATTATTTATTTGTTTATTTCATTTTAAAACCACCCAATGTCCTGAAAGCTCTCTGTAAGGTTTACATGTTCAAAGATGTAAAACAGAGCTAATGCAACAAAGCAGTAAAAGCAATACAATCACTAAAATACCAATAACTGCAAGGCCTCTGTTGCCATATCAAGTTACAAGCATTGACACAGTAATACAGTCTAACAAGGCCACTGCTACCATAGTCCAACTTAAAAATTAGTATGCATGGTAATGATAAAAAATAGAATATTAAAACTAAAGTTTAACTGTTAGAGTATCTAGCACTAGAAAGAGAAAATGGTAGGCACCAGGCATACCTCTTTGGGAAACTGATTCCATAAATGGGGTGCCGCAACTGAAAAGGCCCTTCTTCTGGTTGCCACCTTCTTTACTTCCATTGGAGGGGGCTCCCTAAGAAGGGCTTCCAATTATATTATGCACATAATCCTCTATTTACTTTCATTTATTTAATTTATCACATTCTGTACCATCCCAAAACTGAAGCTGTTTCATGCATCTGGTTCTCAATTTTTCAGTTAACCTTACAGCTCTAATCAGCATTAACAGCTGATTTGTGCTTGCTTTAACTTTAAGTATATGATTTTTTCATTATGGGAAATGTGATAAATAATGAAACACCATTCATTCATTTCAGAATACAAGAGACCTCCAGACTACACTTAATATTTTAAATATACTAATTGAATTGGTGGCAGTAGGTAAGTTTCTCTATTAAGTTGTAATTTATAGTGCCCATCCAAGCTTGTAGTGCTTTTTGTCTAATAAATGTGAATTGTTATATTCTAATTTAGACATACATCATACAGACAGTGTCTATGTGTAACAACCCACTGTAGGTTGAATGGATATGATTTGTTTTTAGGGTTATGCAAGGTTGCTTAATCCTTGCATAACCCACATTTGCCAGGTTTCCATGGGATGACAACCCTCAATCAGGGGTTACATATTCATCCTTGCATCCCACCATCTCAGTTCATTTTTTCTGACAACAGCCAAGTAAATGATTCTTACTGTCTTTTAAATGTAATTTGCAATGACTGTGTGATAAAAAAATCCCTGACAAGCTTTGAATAGCTTAGGATTGCTTCTGATGGCTTTTAATTTTCTAGGCAGTAGTCGTAGAACAAGTGCTCTTGTTTCCAGAGGAGGGACACAGATCTTATTGCAATTGCTTGTGAATGTCAGCAAAGAATCACCACCAAATGAAGAATTAATGGTGCTACTTCATTCTCTTCTTGCAAAAATTGGTCCAAAAGGTGAGTTGACCCTAAGTTAAATATTGTTACAGTTGCTGTTGCTTTTGTTCTACTAGATACTGCTAGAAGTAAAGTGCGGTCCTTGACTTACAAGACTACTTCCCTTTGTACCAACAGAGGACAAAGCACATTGATTATGCATTGTCATAACTGCTAGGTTGGAACAATAGTGCCAGCACACTGTGCAAAATGGTCAGGTTTTAGGGGTCAGTTAAAAATTAGTTTTTTTTTAAAATGTACATACAGAAGTTGGTTGCTTTAGTTATATTGACTTAATGAGTATTATTATGTTATATTTTTGTCTCATCTTTCTCTTGTGAGGAACTCAAGACATATTACAAGGTTCTCCTCCCTCTCCATTTTATCCTCACAAGAACAACTCTTTTGTTGGGTTGGGCTGAGAAGTCAGTGAGGCAAAGTAACCTGGTGAGCTTCATGGCTGACTTGGGGACTAGAACTCAGATCTCCTGGGTCCCAGTCCAACACTCTTAACCACTAGGCCCCACAGGCTTTAAAAGATGAACAATAAACTTAGTCTGGAATCCAGTTCAGGCACATTGCTGCCTGAATTAATTCATGGTTTGAAGAAACATTTTCAAGGATTTGTCTGCAGAAATACAGTGTCCCCAGACCTTGAGAGTCCATGGCCAGGGACTGAATCTAAGACCTCTTGTCTGCTAAGCTTGTGCTGTTCCACTGAGCAGCACTCTGCACCATGCCTTTGTTTTTATTACCAGCCAAATCTGAAAAGCTATTAGGCTTGTCTTGTCAAGACCAAATTTCCATCTCTTTAGGATAGAGTGTCCTTGTTCTGCAGCCATGAACTGGTAAACTTGGATTTGTCTCATTTTTGAATAATCTGATTCAGTTGAATTTGTAGAATAACAGTGTTAATTAGAAAGATGAATCTGGTGATGTCTATAGAGTGGGGTCTGTTTGGTGATGGAGACTTAGCTTTGGATCTCTTTTCCTAGAAAGGATACATGATGTTGACTTTTTTCCTGTGCCAAATAATGCTTTTTATTTTCCCCATGCCCTTTATATCTACTGATGTTTTATTCTTGTTTTATACCAAACTATGTATTTACTCTTGCATTATACTGTTTATATGGATTATACTGTTTATAAAATTAAACAAGAATGGGATTACAGAGAAGATTAGCAAATTATAGGGATAAATAATAATTCCTCAACCTATGGGACATTTCGTTGTTGTTGATTTTGGTAAAGTTCTTACTGATTAGTAACTCAGATTTGGCCAAAGTAGATCAAATTTTTAGAGACAGTTGAAAACATTACAAACCCAAGAGTGAACTGTCAGAAAACAAAGCACTTTTTTCAACTTTTTTCTAAATCCTGTAAATATTGAACTGAGGGGAATTTGCCTGTTGGTAAGGTCTTATCAATAGTGTTACCAGTAAAATGTAAAGAAAAGCATAAGTTGAAAGGTATTGATATTATTTTCATGTAAATGCCAAACTAAGATAATCTGAGAGCAGGGTTGGCATTTAGATACATGAAGCTTTGGAGTGGCTTTGCTTTTCTGGAAATGTTGCTTGCTTAGATTTAAAGACAAAAACTGAATAATGCCCATTGGCTGCTCCCCTGAACTAAAGTCTTGAATTTCTATTTAACTGAAAGTGGAGGCACCAAAACTTGAGAAATTAAATTACAGCATTTTAATTAATTGTATAAATGAGTCTGACTAAATTTAATTAGCATGGTGATAATTATGTTTCTTTTTGATTTCTAGATAAAAAATTTGGAGTTAAAGCCAGAATTAGTGGTGCTTTAAATATTACTCTAAACATAGTGAAACAAAACTTGCAGAATCAAAGACTAATACTGCCTTGTCTCCAAGTGTTACGAGTATACTCAACTAATTGTAAGTACCGTGACATTTTTCTCCTAAGTCTCAATTTACAACCTTCATATTACATTTATGTTAGGACTAGAAACTAGTGGGTGTGTTAGATAAAAAAATGTACTGGAGTTCTGATTGAGATAATAGCAAGCACAGCACATGACTTGTCCAAGTTGTGCCTGCAGAGCTTCTAGTTCTCTTTCATTGCCAGTGTTTGGCCCTTATGTTCTCAGGAGCCTGTTATTAATTGTGAACAAACCAGAAAGAGACTCAATGAATGGGTTTGCATATATTTCTCAAACACTCTGTGAACAATCTATGTCAAACAGACAATTGGGCTTGTTCTTCCACTCCTTCCTCCTCATTTCTCCAGCTGTCTTTGGCACATATGCCAGGGGATATTGAAGAAGAACCCATCTTGTCTCCTTACCTCAGCCTCTTCCTTGTTCCAATTGTTACCCATTTTCACTTCTCAGCCTTTTGTATTTTAGACCCTCAAAAATGTATGATCAAATGATGTTTTGTTTTATTTTGGTTAGTCTTTCTCAGGTGTGCTCATGTGGCTTTCCAATATATATAGGTATTCCTGGTCAGTTTCCTTATATATTTCAGCTGTCAAAGGGAGCACCAATGTGGAACAGTTGCCATATAAGGACATTTTAGAAGACTAGGCTGCTGGCTATTTTGCATGCAGTTGCAAAGGGTTAGAGCAGTGATGGCGAACCTTTTAGAGACCAAGTGCGCAAACTGCAACCTAAAACCCACTTATTTATTGCAAAGTGCCAACACTGCAATAAAACCTGAAAGCTGAATTTTTAGTTTAGAAAAGACAACTCACAGCCAGTCTAAGCAAATATATATATATCCTTGGCAGCACAGTGACCAGCCATGTGAAAGCTTGGATGAATCGTGGCTAATGAGTCGCGGCTCGTGATGTCATCACCTGATGCCACTACTCCTTTCCGAGCATGCACATGGCCCCTGTGTGTGCTGTTATCCGACGCTCGCCTGCCGGGGCCATGCTGGGGTGACTTGGCTCACGTGCCGACAGAGAGGGCTCTGTGTGCTTGCTGTGGCACACGTGCCGTAGGTTCGCCACCACTGGATTAGAGGATAAAATGGAATAGAAGGGGAGGATTATGTAAGCTGCCCTGAGTTTTTTGTAGGAAAAAGAGTGGGATATAAACAAGTAATAGTAGAGGAGGGACCCATTACTTGGCATCAAAGATTGGGGGGTGGGGGGAAGGCAAAAGAATAAAGCACTAGAAGGCAACAACAACGTGTTCCTCTTCCTTTTAAATATTAAACTGGTACTTCTCAGTGTCCTCGCCTTTTTAACATGTCTCTGACTCTCTAGTTACCCAAAAAGGAGAAATAGTAACTCTTTACCCACTGTTCATAGATTCATTTTCAGTTCCATGACAAGGTTCAGTTCAGTTCACTGTTCAAGGTTTCAGTTCACTGTTCATAGATTCATTTTCAATTCCATGACAAGGTTAGGAAGGCAGGTGCAACCCCATAGAGGAGTGGGGAGAAGTGTAAGCACTGCTGTTGTTAGCGCCCCATTCATCTCATTCAGTCAGCCTCTAAGGAGAAAGAAACATGCCTTCATAGTTCCCTGTCCCCCTGCCCTCTCCCCTGAAAAAGAGGCTGAATTTTTCCAGGCAGTTTTTTTGTTTGTTTGTATGTTAAACAATACTGTCTTCTGACAGTTTTTAAAAGTTAGTTCTCAGCAAAAGGGAGTAGGATGTAGATCTACACTTTCTGAAGTACCTAGATGTTTGAGGAAGTGTGTGGAAGATGGAGGTTACTCAGGTAATACTGAAAAACTAGAGGATTTTTACTGCTAATCAGGAGCTATATTTGCCACCCACACCCTTGGGTGCAAAGCCTCCTTACTGCTTCACATTTCAAATGCTAGCTTGGCAGTGCGAATTAACCTATATGAAGCTGTGTTTTGGCAATAGCCATGGTTGTTACCTACCATACTTTAATAGCAGAAACTTACCAGTACATGGGCAAGGCAGAACTCCACATTTTGAGCAGTTATATGCACATACCTGTAAAAGACCAAAAAAAAAATCAAACTTTTTTTTTAAAATTGCACTCTCATTGCAGACATTTTTGGCAGCCTGATTTTCTTTGAAAAAGGTGTAACAAGGCAGGGATGACCCCTCCATGGTGGTGTTTGGGCACTGGGGAAGCAGCTGTCACTAGGGTGGCACAGGACTTCAGAAAAAAAATGTATACAAGCATGGGGTTGCAGTCAGACTGGGAATGAGGAGACGAGTTCTCCCTCTGTGAAATCTGGTATACCAGCTGAAGGACTGGGGGAGCGCAACCAATGGCAAGCTGGATTGTTGAGTTCACTGTAGGTGGGTCTGTGAAGAAGCCATGCTGCATGACTTATTCACAGGGTGAATGGTTGTGTCATGTGAACGCATATTCCCTGCTACTTTTTGGTTTGCCTACTTCTATTTTTTTCAGTATTGTTGGTGCTTTTCCTTGGCACAAATGGATTTCTTCTCTTCCTTCACATTATTTTCTGCCCTGTCCTTCTCAACTGTGAACATATTTCCCTATGTGCAGTCTCTTCTAGTCAACTGCCTTGTATGTTTCCTATTCTATGTCAGCAATAGGTTTGGTGGATGAAACATGCAAAGAAATGAGCCAAGCAAGATGACGTTTGTTGAAAGTTGCTCTACATGTTTGTGAAAGATGCATTAAAATAACAGCTAAAATAAATATGAATGCATTAATACAATTTTCAAGGTGCAGAATCTTTTTAGAAAATGGATAGAGAACAGGTCAGGGTCACTTCAAAGTACTCTTTGGACACAGGTCAAGGGGCAGTCATTGGGAGTGGCACACGCAGGATTGTGAAGACTAGCGGGGTTGTTTTTTGCTAGTGACTCTACAGCCAATTGCAGCACTGAAATAACTCTACCAGGTTGAGATGATATGACAACTTATCAGATTATGAAGAATCCATAGAACAGGCAATTGATTGTCAGGATGGCTTATTTGTAAAAAAAAAAAAAAAAAAAGAGCCACCATGTGGAAAGCATTCTGGATTCTCATGACATGATAATCCAGCATGGCAAGCTTCCCACAGTGGGTTGTTGAGTCATACAAACCTGGTCAGTGGTTTGTCTTAGGTTATGAACTTTGGGTTGTTCAGATCATGGTGGCTGTTGTGTATGAACCGAGAACCATAGTTATTCATGGGTTATTTCACCATGCTACAAAGGCAGCAGAGAAGAATGTTTTTTTAAAAAAACCATACCAATACTACACCACCACAAAAGCCTTTAGGGTACAAGGAGGAAATAAACAAAGGAAAAGGGACAGAAATGATTGAGGAATTATGAAAACAAGCCACAGTTTGATAAATGTTGCTTAGGGCAACAAACCATTGGTTAATCATTGGTTATGTAAACCATGGGCTGGCATTATGCGCAAACCAAATTTTGTGCAGTTAGTGCAATGTAAATTGTTAAGCTAGTTTTTTAGCTTTGCAATGTTTTATGTATAAGTGTCCCCATCAAAATCTTTTTATTTTCAGCTGTAAATGCTGTGTCATTGGGTAAGAATGGAGTTGTGGAGTTGATATTTAAGATAATTGGTCCTTTTAGCAAGAAGAATACTGGTCTTATGAAGTGAGTAGAATATCTTATATAGAATATCTAATATACTAGACAGATCCTCAAGCGAACTTTGTAGTCTATTAAAACTATTATAAATATCAAGTTGAGAAAAACAGCACATCCCTTAATGTCAGTGGGATGAATATTCTATGCAAAGTCATACATTTAATTTGAAATGGGGAAAATAATGTGATATGCAAGGGTCAGTTAAAGTGTTTTGCTAAGTAACTCTTTATATTAAGAACATTTGATGAATTGATGGATGTTTTCAAAAAGTAGCCCTTGAGGCTTGACGAACAAAAGCAGTCTGTCTCCTCCTTTTATAGGTCACAGTCTGAACAACCATGTGACTTGATCTTTGTGACCAATAGGCTTTTGATTTCCTTGGCCATCGCAAACACTGCTGCATGCTACACATATAATATTTGTAAATAATAAGTTAGTAATAACATAAGTGCATAGGATAATCTCTTTTTAGTATAGTTACTCTATGTTGGATGCATAAATGACATGCTACTTAGTCCTGTGCGTGTGTACTAGAAGGCAGGGGTCACTGATTTACATAAAATGTCCCGAGTTTCTTTAAAACATATAATCAGAATGTTTGTGAGTCAGAGAAAACAGTCTTTGAAAAGACAGTATGTGGTTTTGTATTCACATGCTGCTGTGATTTGAATCACAGATCTTACAGAATATGTTTTAAAAAGTTTTGAATTAATATATTACTTATTTTTTCAAATAATTATGGTAAAGTTTAAGATAGCAGTCTGTGTATAGTTAGGCTGCTTAAGTATGAGCACATGTCATCTAGATTTACTAATCTGCATATGTTTTGCTTTTATATTCACAGGGTTGCTTTAGATACCCTTGCTGCATTGCTAAAATCAAGTAAGTATATGATTCAATATTTTCAAAATGCTACATACATTTACAAGATTACATACATACAGATTAGCACTTAGTAGATCATCTTGTGATTGAAAGAATCAAGAATATCATGGTGGTCAGAACAGAAGGCAAATTTGATAAAGTAGAATTAAAAATGCAGAGACATGACATATCTGTTATCCTACTTTGAAATAATAATCAAGATTTTTCATTATTCAGCATACTTCATAGAATTGCTTCCAGTATCAATTTGTAATAACTTATTTTTTACTCAGATTTTCTTCAAACCTTTCTCCAAATAGCTCAGGGAGGTGTACATTGTCCATGTTCCTTCAGATTTATCCTTGCAAAAATATTGTGGATTTATTTAGAATGAAGGTATGTGTGACTAGCTCCAAAAGCACACTGTCAATTTAATTCTGCGCAGAGATTGGAATTGTGAATCTCCATCCAATATTCTAACTCAGGGGGAAGCCACATGGTGTCCCTTTCAGATGTCAAAACATCTGGTGGGTTGTAGGTTGCTTGTTTTAGCTGCTGTGTCACATTGGCTTGAATCTGTAATGTTTGCTTCCTAATGTTTTGCCTAAATGTTTGTAATACATTTCTAAGGCAATGTAACATATCAAACTGGTATGCCTCTCGGGAGAGTTGGAATTGGTACTGGATTGCTTTCATACTTGACAACAGAAACAAACTCAGTTATTGGAATCTCATTTGATTTGACTCTCTTAAATGCTTATCATTTCTTGACCATTCTTAAATCTTTTTCTTCCCTAAGAAACAAATGCAAGGAGGGCTGTAGACAGAGGTTATGTCCAAGTACTTTTGACAATTCATGTAGACTGGCACCGTCATGATAGCCGGCATAGGCACATGTTGATCCGCAAGGGAATCTTGCAGTCTATTAAAAGTATTACAAATATCAAGTTGGGAAGAAAAGCATTTCTTGATGTCAATGGGATGAAAATTCTGTACAACACTTCTCAGGTAAATTTTAAGACTTGTGAATGTATAATAAAACCTCTTTATATGCCATTAAGATGACAATGGGGCTGTTGCCATGACAGGACACTGAATAGGTTATTTAATCCATAATGAGGCTAGGACATGCGTTGGGCATTTTATTTATTTATTTGGGTATTTTTACCCTGTCCAATACGTTGCAGATCTCTGGACAGCATATGTAGCTACCATTTTGAATGTGCAGACTCTTCTTGGTGGTTGTCCTAATATGTAACCCAATGAATGCTGCTTATGAAAGGCTTCAGTAACCTGTACTTGTCCCATGCATCTGGTCTGCTTTATAGTTATACAAGGATTGCTTTAGCCTTGCAGAATCCAGTTTTCCTGAGTGAAGATTGCACAGGCAACGTGATGCCTTGGTTTGGCTTGTCCAAACCAGGTCCATAGAAATATGCCTTAGAATCATAAAATAGTAGAGGTGGAAGGGACCATGAAGGCCATCGGGTTCAACCCGCTGCTGTTGCCTTATTAATAAGCCTGTAATACTCTACAAATGAAATTGCTGCTGTTCTTCATCAACTAAAAAATCAGGTTTTGCAGTGAATTGCATTCCCTTTGATTCACTGATTTTGACGAGAGATGTGCAAGAAATCCATTTGTGGGTGGGAATCCATTGGATTCCCTGGTCTCATCTCTTCAGACTCTGGTTGGCTTTGTAGCAGGCCTGAGCCCAAGTTCCTGGGGAGCACTTCCAGTGTTTCTGGGATGCTCACCAGTAATCAAGCCTTATGAGCTGCATAAACAACACCCTTCTTCTGCACCCAGTGCTGCCAGCTGCACCAGAGACAGAAGAAATTTGGTCTCTGGGAACCTGGCAGAACCACTCACAGTGCCCCTCTTCTGAGCCTGTAGTGAGCTGGTCCTTTCCTTCTTTTCTCCTGGTTATCAAACTCAAGACAATCCCTTAAAGTGCAATTATTTTATCAAATCATAACAGATTACAGAACAGTAAGAACTTGAGCCTATACCAGAGTTGAGGGAGAAGCATCTGCCCATGTAAAGAGTTGAATCCAAACTGGAATCTTCCCCTCTGTTACTCCCTTTCAGTAAAATGTATGACTGCACCCTCAGCATGGCTCTTGCTTCTTGAGGACAAGACAGGAGGAATGCTGGAGACTCTCTAACTGAGCAGCTTATTTTTCTGTTACCTCCTTAATGGGTTAAGGACTGGGTCTTGCATCTGCTTTTGGCCCCTTCCAGAGCAGGCTACTCAGTCTCTGACGCATGAGAGATGGGCCCACTTTCTACAGCACCTAGTGCTGCTGCCACCAGTTGGACCAGATAGGGAAGGTTAGCTGTCAGAAATGGCACCTGATACAACTGCTCACAGTGTCCCTCTTTCATGTCCTGCAGTCAGCTCTTTGGGTGACTGCAACTGAAGGGGAAGTGGCCAGTTGTGCAATTAGGGGTCTGCAAGCATTCGTAGACTTCCTCTTGCCTCAGCTCACTTTGCAATACCAAGCACAAGAGGAAGTCTGTAATTCTAGAGGGACAAATCTGAAAGAATTTGTCCCAACCCTTGTTTTGACATATAAAAGTTAACTGCGAAACTGTGTTTAACTTTACTGCCTTTTATAGTCTACAATTGCTAACCAGGATTATTTATTAATCTAAAGCATGTTATCTCACTTTTCAGCCAAAAAGGTTTCTAGAACAGCTTACATATGATAAATAGAACAAAACAGTTCCTGTCTGTAGGTATGCAATCTGAAAGGCATAACACAAGAGAAATGAAGGATGGGGAGGCAAGGAATAACACGTGAATTAATGCACCACTTTTTAAAGTTAAGTTCTTAAGTAATATGTAGGTACAGTTTATTGAACACTAGTGTTCTCTGTAATTTGCTGTAACCCTAGATCACCCTGTGCCATAAAAATCCCTTATCTCTAAAATATATATTGCCTGTTTTCAGCCAGAGCTGAAGACTGAATCTGTTTAACAACAGAAGTTGGATGCCTGTGGATTTAAAGGCATCTTTGTAGTGCCCCCATGGAGTATCTGAGCACTCCAATTAGTCAGACTGACTTTTCAGGAGAAAGTTCCTACCATAGCCAAGACCAGTGCAGAGACTGTGCATACAAATCCCTGCTCTCTGGAATAATGGGGATAGAAGTAGTTTTCGAGAAGACTATGCATGCCATGGGACTCTGAAAAATCATTTCAACTTGTCTAGGGCCATGTGTCAATGTGACAAATATTCCTTTATCAGATCCTTAAAGTTCACTTTACTAATAACTATAGTAGAACCGTAGTTCTATGATAAAGTGTTTGACATGCAGTGTTTCATTTTTGTTTGCTGTAATAGGAATGCCTTGCAGTTAGAACTCTTGATCCACTAGTCAACACTTCCAGTTTAATAATGAGAAAATGCTATCCTAAAAACCGTCTTCCATTACCAACCATTAAAAGCGCTTTCCATTTCCAACTACCTGTCATCCCTGTTAATGGACCAGTGTATCAGCTGTATAGCTTACCACCCGAAGGTATGGCTAATTTTGTAACATGATAGTCTTGTTTGTGTTTGTTCTGTTCTGAGAGTACTGTAGGAGAGTATATACAAAGTTGCATTCTTTTGCTCTTTTAAAAATATGTTTATAATCTTAACATTACACAGTTCAATACAGATTTTTGCTTTTAAAACTGTATTTCACTTTTTAAAAACGGGGATGAGAAATTTTGTACTGTACTACTATCTAGATGATTGAAATTTATATCTGAATGTAAACAGAGGCTAAAATACAATACCTCAGTATTCATTTTCATCTGTTAACCCAAACAGTACATGTAGCTTAGCAATGATATATTAAATTAACAATACATTTCAGTTGATTTAATTTGTCCCACTGGGTTGTATCTTGTGATTGTTCAAATGGAAGTTTATACAATCAGTGTTTCTTTTCCCCTTAAGTCTCATGCAGTTTCTATGTATTATTTTTTTATATGTGGAACATAAAGCTGCCTTGTACTGAGACAGACCTCATCTACTTCAGTATTTTCAACTTACACTAGCAGTGACATTTCCTGCCTAATGTGGAGATTCTGGGAATTGAACCAGGGACCTTCTGCATACAATGCATGTACTAAGCTACAATCCCTCCTTTAAACTTTTTCTCTGGAGTTTCCTCAATAGCGAGGTCCATGTTGCACAGGGCTGCAGTGGGAGGGAGGAATCTTCCAATTGGTAGGGAAGGCACAAGCTGCCTTCCACATTTATGTGCAGCCTTTGCATGCAAACTGATACATTTGCTACCTTTAGTAGATATGACAGAACTATACTCTGTGTGTGTGTGTGTGTGTGTGTGTGTGTGTGTGTGTGTGTGTGTTTTATACTTCATATTTTTATTATCTCACATTTCAAGAAGGTAAACATAGAACATAGAAACACAGAAATGTAGAAACAGAGCAAGTCAGAAGGGGCCTCCAAGGCCATCTTGTCTGATCCCTGGCTCCAGCCAGCTCTACTCATTACATGCCTATCATATGCATGTCCAGGCTAACCTTGAACACCCAAAGCAGTATATTGTTTGTATATGTTGGCAGTGAACATAATTTCACATTGCATAATCAGATTAATCTTGAAAGCACCCCTTGGGGAGTAGGCAAGTTGCTAGCTTCTTGGTAGATAGCTGAAACAGAAGAAGTTATCCTGTCATCCATGTGTGGCAGGGTATATATGCTTTTTCAGAGACAGAGTCACGTTTCTATGTAAGAAGGTGATTCTGAGAAGGCTGGCAATAAAAGCTGGATCCTAGTTAACAATTACTACTCCGGGTGTAGGTGTTTGCCATTTTTCTCAGTTGGTCAGTTCTGCTTCCCCTGTATCCATTACCATGCTGTTGATTCTGTTACTGCTACCAATTATCCTTCTCCATGTGGGGAACTGATTGTTCCACCTCGGGACCAGCAGTCATGAGAGTGAGCTTTGTGTAGTTATATTACTAGCTCTTAATTTAGAAGGGGAAAGAATACTTTAAAAAAGTAATAAATATGCCATAATTTTTACTTGGATCCAGAGAAGAACAGCAGTAGGGTGACTTTTCTGTCCCCTTTTCTTCTGGAAGGCTCTCAAAGCCCTTCCCTGAAAAAGCCTCTCCTGGTAGTTGGTGGGGGAAAGTTGAATGGACTGGGATGCAGCATGGGGTGAGGGCCACAGGGGAATTGCTGAGAATTGCATGGAAGTACCTTCCATGAATGGAATGAGATGGAACTTGCATGGATGGAATGAGTCTTTGGCCAGTTTCCAGCAACACCCCCTCAGTCACTCACATCAGAGAACACCACTTTCAGGAGGGCATTCAAAGTGGGGAGCTGCCAAGGTCATATAGAATGCTGCGGTCCTACTGTCCTACTTGATAATCTTGATGAGAAATATTTATTAGGTATTTATTTATAAATATTTATAAATATTTGTTAGATCTGTAACATGGAGAATCTGGATAATTAAGTATATAGTACATGGTTTCATGGAAATTTTAATTCACCTGTAGTGTTCACTTTCAGTTGGTGAGTGAAAAGTTTCACATGCATCATTTTTTTTCTGGGATATACATGTTGTAGAAAACGTACATCTGCCCTACTTATAGAACATTTTATATCACAGTGGATGACGTAGTAGATGAAAGTGATGACAATGATGACACCGAAACAGAATCTGAGATAGAAAATGATAATGAAGATGACATAGATCAACATTTTAAGGTAAGTAATAGAATTGAGGAAATAGCACTAATTGTATATTCTGGATATGTTATTTTCTAAAAGATTAACTTTATATGCAATATGCTTTTAGAATCATAAATATGTGAATTGTATTGCTTGTGGATGGATGGTGAAAACAGTATGGGCAAGACACACTGAAACTAAATTTGTATCAAGTAAGCTCCAATCTGTGTTTTTGATTGCTGAATTCTACAACCTTACTTGAATTCTGCCTAACCCATCCAAATTTCTGTTCTTGTTTACTAGTACAAACCATTTGATTGGCAGGAGAGTATCTCAGAGATCCTAGTGGCAGCCATCTGCTTATATATTTATTTGTGGGTATGGACAAACAGATACTAAAGGTTGTTTCAGCTGCTGCTGCAGCAGCATTTCTCTTCCCCTGTGACAATTATACTCTTGCTGCCGGAAGACTTCCCAAATCAATCATTATCCCCAGACCCAATGGTCCAGTTCTAGAAATCATGCTTAACTGAAACACCTGTTGTCTGTGATTGTGTTAGTGAGACTACCATCTAGTTAAATCAGTATTGCATATCTTTCATTTTGAAGCTGCCTTGTTTGGATCTATAGCTTTATTTCCTAATAATTTGCATGGCAGTCATTTTTTAAGGGCATGTATGAACACACATTCAAAATATAACTCAGATTTTATTCCTGTTTGAATATATTCTTTCCTGCAACAAATTAAAATGTTTATGAAACAATTAACCTCTGAGTTTTTTAGCCCTTCACTTCGTATTCACAATGTTTTCTGGATTACTAGTGCTAATACTATTCCATTAACATAAACAGAACTGTGTCACTTTAAGATTGTTGCCCTGATGCATAGAAATAAATACCTTTATTTGGCTATAACCCAGTGACTAGACTTCCATGTAACGGTACACAAGGATTTAACATTAACATGTGAGCAGAAAGGAGCCAGTATAAGTGTTGGGTTCAAGCATAACCCAGTCCACCTAAATAGTTAGTAGGAAGAATAAGCCAGGATTCCTTTTCACATTGTCCAGTTCTATGTTTGACATTACTTTTGGACCAAGAACTGTAGTTTAATACAAATTTAATTTATTAACCTAGCCAAGCTTTGTAGCTGACTGTTCAACAATTGGCTAGAGTTTATTTTAAACCCAGATTCCTGGTTCACCAGTAACAAGGAACCAGGAAAAAGTAAAATGGAATCCTAGTTTATTGCATCTCCTGGCCATGTTGGGGGAGGAGGGGAAGGAATCAGGGAGTGCTTGATTGTTGTACTTCATGCTAGAGCCTTCTCTTTGTGCATGTGGTTCTAAATCCTGGCTTAATAATGCATACAAATACAACCAATAACATGTACTGAGTCATTAAGAGCTTATGTTGTGTTTCTTCTTGAATTGTGCAAGAACATTTATTCGTGCTTAATACCAAAACCTGAAAAATTATCATTTGCTCCACAAGATTTTAAATAATCTAGGTTAATTCCTTCCCCAGAATGATGATATAGAGACTGATATTAACAAATTGAAACCAAAGCAAGAATTGGGAAGACCAATAGAAGATTTGAAGATGTATGAACAGTTTTTTCCAGAACTTATAGAGGACTTTCAGGTACTTATATTGGTATCTTTAAAACAAATGTGCAGTTTATGTGAAACACAAAGTACATAAGGCATAATTTATTGGGTTGTTACTTTTATTGAAATATAGGTAAGCATTTAGAACCTGCAAGATTGTTATTTAAAAAACTGAATATCAGTGAGAAGACACAATGAATTACTAAATTAAATTACTTAATCTAAGTTCAAATACAGACCTTAACCTGTTAGAATTTCTGACACTTCCTTGGCATACCTTCTCTTGTTTCTCCTTAATGGTGCACACCAGCATGCTTTCTTCTGCTTTCGGGGTTGTTCACATCGTCTCATATTTAAAGAAATCATATTAGAGCAACATTTTTTTCCCTTCTGACTGCTTGAGTGAGTCTTGCAGTGAAGATGAAGGTACAGCAGCAAGAAGGAAAAGTGAATGAAAACTATTACACTTAATGAAAATCATTCTAAATAAGATTTCTCCAGCTGAAGATCTTTTTTCAGCAGCCCTTGAAACATCTGCTAATGTTATTTGTCACCTTTGATTTTGGTGACGCTTTCTTCATGGCTAACGTCTTTTGCTGGCGACTGTTTCCTTATCAGTTCTTTGGTTTTTCTCCTAATACAGTTGTTTTGGTCTTATGGCTTTAGCTAACATACTTAGAATACTATACTTCTCCCCACCGCCTCAGTTTATCCTGTTTTGCCCAGTCTCACATCTTGATGGACATTCCTCCTAAATGAATTTCTTAGCATCCTTAGTATCAACAGTCCAAAGCCCTTGCTGTCAGAGATACTGATAACAAGTTTTTGTCAAGACTAGTTTCTTTCTTCTCAGCATGGCTAAGATTACATGTTTTTTATTATTTATTTATCAGCTTTATAATCCACTATAACAAACTCAAAGCAACTTACATCATTCTCTTCCTCCTGCTCTCAGTCTTATCCCCACAACAACAACCTTGTGAGGTTTATTGAGCTGATAGTCTGTGACTAGCCCAAAGTCACACAGTTGGTTCCATGGCTGAGTGGGGATTAGAACCCAGATCACCTGAGTCTCAGTCACTACACTGGCTGCTCATCATTTTTATATTATACTATAATATTGTAATATTAGTATCTATTAATTTTTAAACATCTTAAATCATCTTGAAGGACAGAAGTGAAAATAGCAGTTGCTCTTATTGATAAGAAGAGCGGAAAGAATAGAAGGAGGAGTCAAGTTCTGATAAGATTGTTGGTTTGAAGGCTCATAATCCATTTGAGGCTGACAGGTCTGGCTCTGTTTGGTACCTGGATGGGAAACCATCTGGGATCCACTATTTCCACCTTAAGTTCCATGATGGAAGAAAGACAGGATATAAATGTCCTCAATAAATAAAAACTCTTAACTCCTAATGATACCAGAATGATCAAGGGGTTGCAACATTATCCCTATAAATAACAGAACCCAGAACCAAGGTTTTTAATTGTAGAAAAAAGGTGTGAAAAGGGGCAATATGACAGGATTTATACTATATGTACTATACTATATGTATGAAGAGACAGTTTATTTCCCCCTATCATAACATTAGAACTTAAATTCAGCCATTCAAGTTGATTGGTAGTCAGGACAGAAAAAAGAATTCACTTCCGCAAGATGTGGTAAATCATTTAAAAAAGATAAATTAATGGAAATCTATCAGTGCTTATTAAGTATATTAACCAAAAGAAAGGCTCATGTATTTCTGCCTACTTTTAATCACTTAATGTAGCAGTATGTCCCATTACTTTGCCTGAAACCATGAAGGACCAAATTCAACCAGTGGGCAGGCACCTTTGTACAGCATACAGTGGAAGAAAAATGCATTTGCACTGAGTTATTCTCCTTTCCTTGAGTGCAAGGTACTCAACATTAGCTTTTGTAGTTGGAGATACAACAGGAAGGTGTGAACACTAACAATAACCAAGAATGGGTGCTGGAGAGTTTTTATGGAATGTGGTATAGCCTGGGTAGAGCCGGTGTGGCCTGCTGAGCTCATAGGTCTGAGTTGAGCAGCCTGGAAGTCCACATTTGGCCCACAGTTAGAAGGTACGCCATTGGTATCTGATTTAGTAATCTAGGAAGCAACTATCAGAAACAGGATGCTAGTCTGGGGATAAACATTGACTTGATCCAGCAAGATTTTTCTTTTGAACTGGCTTCCTGTAGATTTCTGCATCAATATGCAAGTTACCTCCATTCTTATTGTTTCATATTTTGTGCTTGTTTTTGCAAATAAGCTCGCCTGCAATTGACTTAGTTTTGTCTGCATTTTACTCTACTTTTTGGTATGTTGTTGCTTATGCCTGTGGGACTGCAGGTGGCGCAGTGGTTTAAACCGCTGTGCTGCTGGGCTGGTTGATCGAAAGGTCGCCGGTTCAAATCTGCACAACGGGGTGAGCTCCTGTACTCTGTCCCAGGTCCTGCCAACCTTGCAGTTCAAAAGCATGCAAATGCAAGTAGATGAAAATGTACCACTTTGGTGGGCATGTAACAGCGTTCCATGCATTTCAGTGTTTAGTCATGCCACATGACCACGAAGACTGCGGACAAACGCTGGCTCCCTCGGCTAGGAAACAGAGATGAACACCGCCCCGTAGAGCCAGACATGACTGGACTTAATGTCAAGGAGAAACCTTTACCTTTACCTATGCCTGTAACAGTTTCTCTTTTCTGATTCATTAAAGCTCCACTACTCTTTAAAATTTAAGAATGTAAGCCCTCAGTGCAGGAATTGTATTATTTTGTTTTATCTCGGTTGCTTGCACATCAAGTATCTAAATGTTCCTAACTGTTTTTATTCCTCTCTTTTTAATGCTAAGGAATATGACCTAGTTTCCAAGGAGCCAAAGCCTTTCTCTACCAGTGTTGCCCTCGGAGGTCCCATTGTTGTTCCTACTGCTGGAGAGGAGCAGTCTCAGGCAAATGATGCAGCAGAAATGCCTGTGAAAGATAATCATCCTCTACAAACAGAGGATTGTAATAAAAGACCAATCTTTTTGGGTCTGGTACAGACTGATAGTAACATTGACAATAACTTACAGCATCAGAGTGATCACATAAAGTTGCTTTCATCATGTCAGTGCCTAAACCATGAAATAGTCAATGACTTTGACAGAATTTCTTTGCAAAATACTCCAAGAAATGAACAGTCTTACACTGCAAGGGCTGTGACCAAAAAAGAATGTAAAGCTAGCCAAAGTGAAATTACCTGTAACAAACCTTTTCAGCATGTTTCATCCTGTGGAAGTGTTTTGTTTGAGGGACGCTCTGTCCAGCTGGGAAAGCTGTGCTGTTCTGGACCAGATCCTGAAGAAGAGGATGTTTCCTGCTCAATTTCTGTGGGAGAGCAAGTCATTGTTGATGTGCCTGATGCATTACAACTGCATGATCCAGACCTTTATATTGAGGTAGTGAAAATGACAAAGTCTGTTCCTGAATATTCAGAAGTGGCATATCCTGACTATTTTGGGCACATTCCACCTCCATTTAAAGAACCCATTCTTGAAAGACCCTATGGTGTGCAGAGGTGAGTTTCTCTCTTTTTCAAACATGTTTCATGATAATCCAAAGCCATAACTTGTTGTATTAAAAGCTTGCAATAAAACTAAACACACACACCCACACACACACACACTTAATTGGATCCAAAGGGATCCTTTGTGAATGGAAAGAACTTGGGTCCAGTAGAGATGCTGCAACTGAAAATGGTATTTTCCTCTAAAGATTCGCATTTTGTCCCAACCCTTTTGAGCAGGTCTTGAAAAGGCTACAAAGGAAGGGAGATCCAAGACCTGAGTGCACATCTTTGAGTAGAAGCTACTCAAGGAACTTTGAATCCAAAGTGCAAAATTTTGTCAGCAAAGAAGAATGTCTTTGGTTATTGTCATTAGGTAATAAGTGAAAATAGTTTTTGGATACAGAATGCAGTATTCTCTTAAGCGTTTTGCATTTTATATGGTTATATAATGTAACCATTGCATAAGGAATGTTATTAAGAATTAGAGTTTTCTGATTTATTAGGGAGTTTATTGCATGAAATACACAAAACAAGGGAGATATTATCATAGGATTCCATTAGCCTTGTTTCAGTGTGGGATTCTAATTTGTTTTATACAGGTATTGTACAGATGTCTGAAATTATAAATGTAAATTGCTTTCAGTTTGAAAGTGCTATATTAATGCTAAAAATAATAGTTGTATGATTATGTATTTTATATTCTCAAATGTTATTCCTTTTCTTCCACAAGGAAGAAGAGAATGGCTGCCAGTCACATGCGAACTCTGATGTATGTGAAAGAAATATTGGATATTTCTCCTTCATAACATCGGGGTCTCTTGAACTCCCTTTTTGAGAATAGTTGGCAGTGAATGGGTGTGTGCAGTTTCCTTGAACCTTGCCCAAATTGATAGGGCAGAAAATTCAACCAGTTACTAATGGTATCTGATTGATACCCTTTTTCTCCATCAAAAATCCTTTTCTTCTTTTCATAATATAAAAATACATGGAATTGGTTTAGTTTATAATGTGAAATGCCACTGAAGTTTATGCTATGGCAGTACCAATAATCAACCCAGAGTCCCATCATGGTATGCAGGTAGAGCAGGGGTCTCAAACTCGCAGCCCACGGGCCATTGCTGGGACAGGCAGGGCATGGGGGAGGGGGCCCTGCGGCCTTCAAAGCGCCGGTGGCGCCCAGGCCGGCTGTGGGATGAGCGGCTCACCACCACCGTGGTGGTGGAATACTTGATGCGGCCCAGCCTCACCCAGCCTCTACTTCCAGCGGCCCCCAGGTAAGTTGAGTTTGAGACCCCTGAAGTAGAGTAATAATCAGTAATAACTGAAAGTGACACACTGACTGTTTGATTTTAACAAAATACTTGGGTTACCAAAACTCTAGCTCCAGCTTTCTATTGTTAATAGTACACCCAATACAAATGTCTTCTTTATGCTGTCATTTTTTGTTGAGCATTTAAAATGAGAACTTGGCTACAACAAAGGTTACATTATTGTGAAACTAGGCATCACCCCAGATCATGGGTCCTCAAACTACGGCCCGCGGGATGGATCTGGCCCACCATGCCCATTTATCTGGCCCGCGCCACCTGCGCACGTGCGGGAGGTGGTGGCTTGCTTATTCGGAGATGGTTTTGTACTTGTTGGGAGATCTTCCAGCAAGTTCAAAACCATCTCTCAACGAGCAAGCCACCACTGCTGCCTGCCTCCCCCGTGCACATGTGCTTGCCACTGCCTTACAGCGCAGGATGGAGGCGGTGACTTGCTTGCTCGGAGATGGTTTTGGACTCGTTGGGGGATCTCCCAACAAGCAAGCCGCCACCGCGCATGCCCAACGCCACCTCGCACGCACCCGGCAACGCATCACTGGCCTGCGCGCCCAGCTCCCCCCCCCACCAGCCCACGTGTGTAGCCGCCGCCTTTCAACTGACCCCCTATTGAAAAAGTTTGAGGACCCCTGCCCCAGATTATTACCAGTAGAAAAGTGTTTGAATTACAGTAAAGTCAGGCTTTATTGGTTAGTGGGAGGACTGCTTTTCCATGTGTCATAGATACATTTTGTGTCTGACTTCCCTTCCTACTTTTTTGGCACCTTCCTACATTTGTTTCCAGAAAACTTGACTTATATTATAAATCTTAGATTGCTGGGAAATGATGAGACATACATAATGAAAGATCTGGGTTGCCTCACATGACGTATTTAGTGATTAGTGTAAGATTCAAAGACATTACAGGAATATTTAAAATCTTTTATAGTAATGGCTATAAAATTGACTATCTGAAATCACAAATAAAGCCTAAATATGGAGAGATGTTTAGGATCCAGATTAATATTATTTTTCAGGCCTTGTCAGTCAATCAAAATTTATTGAATAAATCTTCAGACCATTTCAAACCCAGTAAACACATATTGAAAACAGACAGAAGCTACATAATCCTTAAGATAAAATGCTAACACGTGAATGTATAAAATTGAGGTAATAATAATTGCCTTATGTTAGTCTGACTTAGTGAGAAAAAAGTAAGGTAATTTCTGAAAACAAAATTTATTATTGTTGGAGAGAGTTAAAGCATCTGAAAAGCTGGTCCATTAAAAAGTCACTTTTCCTGCTTTGTTTCTGAAACTATTGTAATATGAATAATCTTGAATGTTACAATTATAAAGATGCAGAAAAAATTGTAATGCACTTTTGTTTAGTTATAAGTGAAGGATGATTCTAAGCCAGTTTTAATAGGTAAAGTGCCAAGCAAACGAAACATATCTAGAACAATTTTAGATTTTTCTGGTTAATTTTGCAATTCTAAATATCAGGCTTTTCTTAAGAAATGAGTTCACAAAAACCTAATTAGGCTTGACAGAGTATTTTTTTCCTTGGCTGTGTCCTAAAATTTAAGGGGTTGTTCCATGTGGCTCCTCTTAGGGGGTTTGAGAGTATCAGAGAAGCCAAGAACATGAGGCCAAATTCTCTCACTAGGTTGGTCTTCAATAGTGTCATCCAAGGAGGAATAGGCAAAGCTGAGACACCAGACCAAGATGCATCCACCAGCTTCAGGAGTAATGGTCACATTAACAAAAGAGAATGGATATCTCTAATTGTGATGGCTGTGGAGAAGCTCCTTAAGGGCAGCTACCAGGCAGCAGTAGTAATTGATGGTAACACTGGTGAAGGATCTTACACAAACATCAGCAAGTGACACTCAAGCTAACTCTGTTTAGTAGCACACAGAAAGTGGTAATTATAATCCACTTTGGAATAAACCTTCCTTGTCACCCCTATGGTGAAATAATCCAAACTGAAACAAAAGATAGTTGCAGAAGATGAGGCTCACAGGTTGGAAGGCACTCAGTCAGTTACTGGGGAAGAGCAATGACAAGTACGAATAGCAGTATCACTAATGATGCAACCACGTCAAAGCTAAAAGCAAGTTGAGTGACTGATGTGCACACAGGTGAAAGGAAATGGAATATGTGAAGTATGAAACAAGGGAAACTGGAAGCCATTAAGCAAAATATGGAATGTGTAAATGTTTCAGCACACAGTGTGAATGAACTGAAGTAGACTAAACTGGGATATTTTCAGTCAGACACACAAAAGTGTTTATACAAAGAAATGACAAACTCAGAAGAAACTGATTGGCTTTAATACTGAGGCAAGTTGTAGCACAAGCAGTATGGGGTTTTAATGCAAAATCCAACTGAATCGTATCCTTCAGAGGCTGTGGGAAATTTATCAGCATGACCATCACAAACATCTCCAATAACAATGTTGAAGCAGAAGAATTGAAAACTTTTATGAAGGCATGAAGAGGAAATTGATAACACACCAAAACAAGACATACTGATCATCATAAGTGACTGGAATACAAAAGTAGAGAGCATGCAGAATCCACTGTTGTGGGAGAATTTGGCCTAGGGATCAGAACCAAAGTAGAAGAATGATTCATTGAATTTTGTTAAGCCAACAATCTGCTTATTGCAAATATGTACTTAATGCAAGTAATCAGATGACTATACACATGGACATTACTGTACAGCCAAGATAGAAATTAAACAGACTATGTAATTAGAATTAGGAGATGGAGAAGCTGTGTTCGTGCTGCCAAAACAAGACCAGGAACAGATTATGGTAGTGACCCAGGAACTATTAATATAAAAAATCAGAGTAAAGCTGAAAAAGATCACTAGCAAAAGCATAGTGCCAAAATACAACCTAATTCACAATCCAGTAGAATTTAAAGTCCACATAAAGATCAGGTTTGCATTTCCGAACATAACTGATCATGATTCATTGACTGAAACCAGAAACATTATTAGGGAAGAATGCAAAAAGACAATTCCTGAGGCAAAAAGAAAGAAAAAGCCTAGATGGATGGCAGAAAAAACACTATTGCAAAGGGCAGATGAGAAGCAAAACGTGAGAGAAAAATAGATTCAAGAATCCTGGATGCAGCTTTTCAGCAAAACTTTTACTTTTCATGTAAAGATAAAAAGAGATATTACAATGGCTAATGCAAAGCAAAAGAAAAAGAAAATCAAAAGAGGAAAAACCAGGAGACCGCTTCCAGAGGATCCAAGAGATCAAAGGGAATTCAGATCTAAATTAGGAATGCTGAAGACCAAGAGGGGAACATGCTATCTGAGCTTTCCCTAGAAGCAGGAATGATAAGACTGATGTTGTCATACTTCAGACATATCATGAGAAGGCAAGACCCTGGAGAAGACAATTATGTTAGGGAAAGTCAAAGGCAGAAGATGAAAAGGAAGACCAAATATGAAATGGATTAAATCTGTAAAGAAAGCCACAGCCTTGAACATAGGAGAGCTGAATGGAGCTATCATAGACAAGACATTTTGGAGGGCTTTCATTCATAGCATTGCCGTAACTCAAAGACAACTTGATGGCGCATAACAACAAGAACAGTTCTTGTCAGAATTAATGTGAGAAACATCCTTGGATAAATATACTTCTTGAAATAAGTATAAATTAATGACTTAATTTATACTGTTTTATATTATTTATGTTTGTGAGCTGCCCCAAGGCTTCGGCTAATGGGACAGCATAGAAATTCCCTAAATAAATTAACAATTAATAAATAATAAATAAATAAGAGTCAATTTCCCCATCCCCAATTATAGAAATCCTTTGGGTTGGATTTCTATTCACTATAGTGGTTTTTGTTTGTTTGTTTTATTAGTGTATATGCTATGAATAGTTTCCTATTTTCCTCTTGGATAAATCTGATAAATCTGATTTCCAGCCCTTTCAACTTTTGTGGGAAATTATTTTAATTCTGTGGTGCTTCTGTGGCATTTGGTTCTGTGTGCCCACAAGACACTGATGGCCAATTCAGGGCTTATTTGTGTAAAAAATTGTACTCATCTTGTACACACACACAGTCATATGTATTATGCTCAGCCATCTAGTTCAGCAGTTCCTATAGCTTGTATAGATGGTGAAAAAAAACATATTTCTTTTTTATTTATAACCTCATGTTTGATTAGAGATTTTCCAGAGGTGAGAAGCTCGCACACTAACCCAATCACTGCATAGTAAAGTCTCTGAAACTTTTAAACTTTTATCTACAGTTGTAATTGCATGAATTGCTAATGTAACTTAATTATTCCCAAATCTTAACTAGATTTAATTACTAATACTAGTTGAAAAAAATACTTGATTTCTAATGTAAACTAGGCAGACGGAAAGGAAAATATCCCTCTGACAAGGAAACCAGTTATTGGATGTTGAAGCCTTAGTGCCTAGTGGATTCTTTTTTACCGTATAGTTTTAAAAGGTGGCAATACACCTTTCTAGTTAACAGTTGTGAAACATAACATCAAAATTATCTTTGTTTTTATAGGACAAAAATTGCCCAAGATATTGAAAGACTGATTCATCCTAATGATATCATAGACAGAGTTGTTTATGACCTTGATAATCTCAAGTAGGTTTCACAACAAAACTCTCTATTTTACCTCTTTCCTCTCTCATTTTTGTTATTTTAAATTATTTTGTACTTCAGATAAGTAAGAAAAAAACAAGTGATGTTATAGCTTGTTGGTTTTCTAGACTGTTTGCACCATAGACAAATCCTTTCTGGCTAGAGGAGGTTATAGATGGAATAATTAATATCTGCTTAAAATAATCTGTTGTAATTGTTTTGCATTGTATTGGGAATTAAAAAACTAATATTTGCTTTCTTAATGGCTAAAATCAGTTGATTAGATTCAATGCCAAGCTATCCTTTTATGTAGATATAATTGTTATTTTAATTACAAAACCTCCAGATTATTTATATTTAGGGATCTCTTTCTGTTTTGACATCTTTGCGTGCCTACAATGAACCCTTATGTGTTGCAGAATATTTTGAATGGTGTCTTGACACCAGGTGATCTCATGGCTGCACAATTCAGGAAAAGATCTGTAGTACTGATCAAGATAAATTCTTTTAACAGATACCTCCATTACTGATCTCATTTATGATCAGGAAACATTCTAAGATATTCCACCTTGGAAATTAAAAAACAGTATTCTGGCTAAAAGAATAGTTTATCTAGAAAATTAAGGGAACAGTCCTGTGACTGCTAAAAAGTGTCTGAGGGGTCGTGGGATAGTTTGGGTTTCCAAATCCCAGGTCAGAGACTGTACATTGATGTCAGACCTGGATATCAGAGTTCCACCCACTCTCCCCTGCCCCCTCACAATCAGCAAGGAAAGAACTGCAGTACTGTGGTACCTTGGCTCACGAACTTAATCCATTCCAGGACTCTGGTTGCAACCCAAATTGGTCATGACCCAAGACAAATTTTCCCGTAAGGTTCAGTGTAAATAAGGTTAATCCATTCTGTAACCATTTTTTTTAATCACAAAAATTTGAAACAAAGTGACAAAGAACAGCAAAGATCTCCCCCCCGCCCCCGCCCAGCACGACCATGATTGTGCCTGTCTTCCCTGCACGACCGCAGCCATAGACTGGCACGATTGGGGTTGTGCTAAGGCAGGGAAGATGGGCATGATCGTGGCCATCTCCCCCCTGAGCATGACTGCTGTCGCGCCCATGCAGGGAGGACAGGCGCAATCATGGTCGTCACCCAATGCAGAGTTCGCAACTTGTGGCAAAATTTTTCTGAAGTTTTTGTTCGCAACCCGATTTGTGAGCCAAGGTACCACTTCAGTTCCTCTCAAGATCAAGAAAGCAACTTGAAAGAGCTTCAGCTGTTGGGCAGAAAGAAATTAAATACATAAAATAAAAAAAACTTTTGAGAGGGCTAAAAGTGAGCCATCCAGAGATTCAGAGTGATGGATGGCCTAAAAATATCCCGAATGAATGAATGGAGATTCAGGGACGGGAAGGAGAAGACACGAGAGGCCAAGGTATGAGGCATCATGCTGCCATTCCTGCTTCCTTGGTCCCCTCTGAGATGCTCCAGGTAAACAGGCAAGAATGCAGGCTGGGAGGACAGGAAGGAAAAGATAACCTCCTGTGCTTCTTCCATGCTATGCTGCATGTGTGTAAGCTTTCAAGTTCAGCGGTCTCAGCTGTCCTAAGACGCTGTTAAGGATGGGGTAGAAATGCTGCAAACAAACAAGACAGACAGACAGACAGACAGAGGTTGATCGGCATCATGATAGGATTGCGCCCTACAAACTTAATATACATTTAATATCAACATGTTGGGCAAATATGCCAAATATTTCTTCTGTCTGTCTAGGTCTGATTTGATTATTTGTATTCTTACATCATAAATTATATGTTTACGCAAATAACTTTTAAAACATCTTAATATTGGCTATTCTGACTGGAGTTATAAGAGTTGCAGGCCGCAAGTCACTATTTCTGATTTAACATAAATGAAGAGTGAATTAGTCAAATACAGGCTAGGAAAAAAATGAGGAAAAATCAGGAACGAAAAGGAAAATGTTACTCTTCATTCTGTATGGCAGCTGAACATTGATTGCATAGATACTTGAACTGTATTGAAATAAATTACTATAAAGCAACTCTACTGATAGGCAACACAGAAGACTTCTGCCTATTCTGTCTTATTCATTACATCATAATCAAAACACATTATGTTCAGGAATGTTGAGTGTGAACAAAGAGAACTGTTGTGATCTTCTGTATAATCTGAAGCAATTTAATAATTATTATAAGACTGATGTTTATAGGTGATATTTTAAATCGGGGTAAATTGCATTATTTTTTCTCTTCCTTCTCACCATCCTTGCTTATATATATTCAAAACATTGACGGTCTGGTATAAAATTTGAATTTAACTATTTCTAAAAGTAATTTTCTTTCCATGTTATTTTATTTTACTTTTTTAAAGTTACCTTGTGCCAGATGAAGCTGATGTCTTGAAGTTTAACTCCAAATTTGAATCTGGAAATTTACGCAAAGTTATTCAGATCAGAAAGTAAGATGTATTACCATTATTTTATTTTAACATTGCCCTGAATTTGCTCTTAAAATTAAGACTTTCTTGTTTCTCCTTTTTTTAGAAATGAGTATGATCTCATTCTGAACTCTGATATAAACAGCAATCATTATCACCAATGGTTTTACTTTGAAGTCAGTGGAATGCGGACAGGCATTGCTTATCGATTTAATATAATCAACTGTGAAAAGACAAATAGTCAGTTTAATTATGGTACGACCTGCTTTTTTTCTGTTAAGACGTACGAGGAGGTATATACTTGTACAAATCCTTCAAAGTGCTTTTTGCTCTAACTGAAAGGAAAAGCTATTTCGGGTGTTTTCATATCTCATCCCATAGAAAATTCACAGTCATAGCTCAACCCTAATCAGGCCTTTTGGCCCTTTTAAAAATCTGTTGCTTTCTCTGGGTCTTTCTTAACTACAGCTTTCTGGAATCCCACCCTTTAATTGTCTCCAAGCCCACAAAGATAGAATAAATAAGATAACTAGAGGTAAAACTCTTAACTTTTTATCTTTAGTTTCTTGTATGAAAACAGGACATTTCTTTCAAAGTATGGAAACTAATGACCACCATTATGGTCATTATGCACAGTATGCCATATACAAAACAAGGAGTATCAGTTTTGAGTTTGGGCCTACCACTAAAACTGATTACTATATATAAAATGCACTATACATGGATGTATAACAGATCACAGCAGATGCAAATGCATATAGTGAACCTTCGCAATAATAAAATCATTTATTATTTTAATAATAAAAATTATTAAATCCTAATAAAAAAGCTTATTAGGATGGAACCAGTATTGCATAGGTTTCTAAACAACAGGCAGGAACAAGATGGACAACCAAGCATGGAAACTTATTGATTACATTCTGTATCATGGTAGTCCAACATGCGGGTGACATGCAGCCCCCAAGGCCTTGATCTGCGGCCCTCTTGCCACTCAGAGCCCCCTCTCCCCATTCCCCTCCTCAACTGAATCATAGCAGTGGCTTAGGCATGATTTGTCACAAGCTTTACTGAGGCCACTGTCCCCATTGCTCAGCCCCTGGGTTCTGTGTTAAAATCCTCATGCAGCCCTTAAGGTATGAAAAGTTGGACCACCTTGTTATGTACCATGTTTCCCAGTTCTTCATACCACAGTTTAAAGGATGTGGAACTAGTCCTGGGTACTTGTGTCTTTCTTCTCTTCCCTCACACATTTAGCTTGATGGTGTATACTTCCAGATTTGATCAAACCAGTTTACCAATGCATCCAAACTGGCAAATTGGTTTAAGCAAGCACTCTAAACAAGGAATGGAAACTACGATTTGATCCTGTTTTGCAATGCTACTTTGATACTCTTATTCAAACCATAGTGTGCTGGTACGGATGTAATAAGCTAAGTGCATAAGAGAAAGCAGAAAGTGCAGACTTGTTCCTAGTCTTGCAAACCATCTGTGTTATCCTGTTCAGTCCTAATTGTACTTTATTCCCATGGTTTTGAAGGATCAGAAATAGGACATCTAAATATATCTTTGAGCAGTATCCAACAGGGTGCGGATTCTCATCTGCCTCACTGATTCCTTTCAGCAAGTGCTCTGCCCACTCTGCAGGTGGAATAGATATTTAGCACTTCTTGGAAACTGTGAAAATATTCATTTCTGGAGTGAAACAGGTCAGCAGAGAGCTTCGCTATCCTGCCCTGATCTAGAAATGATTATTTTTACTTGTTCTCTAGGAAGCATAAAATCTCACTTACTGAAGTGTTGAGCCCCATGTGTGCAACAGAATTGGCAGGGCATAAGCACTTCATCAACTACCAGCTCATGAAATACCAATGGATAGCAAACATTGCAAAAGAATATTGAAATGCTGAATTATTATACAATATGTTAATATTGTCAACAGTCATAATAATATCCAGGCGTAGCTAATTATTTATCATGGTATATTCAGAAAGCAGAATGATCATTCTGTTAAAATAAATTATATAGTATTTTCTTGAATTAAAAATAATTCCTCTCTAATAGTATACTAGTGTACTAGGAATATTCCTTGCTGAATATGTGCAACTGTTTTCTATAATGTAATACATTTTTGCTTGAAGGAATGCAGCCCCTCATGTACTCTGTTCAAGAGGCATTAAATGGCCGTCCCTGGTGGATTCGTGTAGGAATTGATATTTGTTACTACAAGTAAGTATAACAGTGAATTGATGAAATCGATATTAAGATTGTTTGGAAAATTACCTTTAAATCTACCATATTACTATTATGTAAATTAATTGTATTGATACTTTTAAACCAACAAAGGAGATGTAAAAACAGAATCTTCATTAGTTGCATTAAATATAATTCCTGATCAAGTGATATATGTCTATAGATTATTTACACAAAATAATAAAATTAATAGGCATTATCTCTTTGAACTAATGTTAACAATTTGCTTCTAGGAATCATTTTTCAAGAAGTTCAATTGCAGCGGGTGGACAGAAGGGTAAATCGTACTACACAATGACCTTCACAGTCAGCTTCCTACATAAGGATGATGTTTGTTACTTTGCTTACCATTATCCATATACATACTCAGCTTTAATGGTGAGCTGATAACTTGGAGAAACTCAAAATAATTTTTGCATACATGGGATTTTAGTATTCCACTTTAATGATTTCATGTGCAAGTGATTGTATAGTTTGGTGGTGATTACAAAAATATTCAAATATTAAAACACCTTTTTCTGGAAAATACTGAAATTTGAAGCAATTAAATCATACTGATCTGGTTTGCTCAATTCAGCAATGGGTCTCCTATAGTACAACCCCTGACTACTTTCACAAACTAAGTCACACTGAAAGCCCATGGCTTGTTCTTCTTCAGAGCCAATGGGTTCTTGTGCCATCTGAATCTGGGAGAAAATTTTCACCCTGAATTACTAGAATCAGCTACAGAGCTGCTCAGTGAGAGCAACCCAACCTTGCCAATTCTCTGTATGTTTCAGCTGTCAAAGGGACCCTTGAGTTAGCATAGGGAACATACAAGGAAACTGAAAAAGCAAAACCGCATATAAGCTGATTTGCACACAATTCACAAGAATGGGTGTGTGTGGGGGCGGATAATACTAGGGGAGAGGAGAAATGTATTTGCATGATGGAAAAAGCATTGAAAATGGGGAATAGTGGGAGAAGTAGGGTATACAATATCATCCATACAGCAATATAATTCTCTCAATTTGTAGTATTAAATGGACAGTGCTAAGTATTTTCCACCTTTTTGGTACTTCTCTAAGTCTGTAGGTAGCCCAGAAAAGGGAAACACTAACTCCCTTCTACTTTCAATGGCTACTTTTTTGGAAGACTTACTGCTGTGTTTTGATGGTTCTAAAACCACAGAGGAGGCAGCTGAATATGAGCAAGTGAATGGTGCCCCACTGTGTTTGTAAGGCCTATTGGTGCTGGCATTCCATTTTCTTTTTCAGATTTTAGCACCAATAAGAGCTTTTGTTTTAAACTGTCAGGAATATCTGTCACCAACATTAACTGCTTTATCTTTAAAAGTGATTAAATAACTGACAAAAGTGTAGGTCTAATTATTCTTAAATGCCTAATTTTATGATAATGATATGATCTGTATTGATAATATTGATTAGACTTCCATGCACTAGTATAATGCTCCAGGCATAAATATTATGGTATTTTAACATCGCAATTTTTATATTCTAAATTTTAATTTAAGACAAATTGAAGTTTGTCTATTTCTATAGTGATTTGTGTCTTCTGTGATCCCACTGCTACTACTGTGACAGCTAGTTTTGTGGTGTTATTTATAGTTTACATGTATGTTTTTATATTTAAAATTTATATTTTTCATGTAGGAAAAGAAATGTGATTAAAAGGGAAACATGTTCTAAAACATTACACAGAAATTGCATAAAGATATGTCAATCCTATTAAATATTTTAATTCATTTTAAATTATTTGTTTATAATTTTGGGAGGGCTCAGCATATGACTTTGTTGCAGCAAAAAGGGAAAAAACACCCAAGACCCCAAACTAAAGCTTTTGTGGACTACAGCCCAGTACAGAAACTTGCTGTCATAATAATTTTATTATTTAAGATCACCTTAAAGTTTCTGTGATGGACTGTAATTCATCTATGTGTGGTAAGTGCTGTGCTGCAAGAAAGAAATAGACTCTGGATATAGGCTAATAATCTAATTCTTTTTGCTGCGAAGATGCATCTCCAAAAATTGGAATCTACACACAATCCTCAGCAGGTATATTTTCGACAAGATGCTTTGTGCGAGACTCTCTCTGGAAACAGCTGTCCTATTGTCACTATAACAGCTATGCCGGAATCAAATTACTATGAACATATTTGTCAGTTCAGTAAGTATAATTCTTTTCCTCTTAGTCACTGAAATTATATTAATGTTCTCAAATTAAAAATTAAAATTTTATAAAATAAAATTATGTGTATCCAGTATTTATATTACTGGATAACTTTATATTGCTTTCCTGTGACAATGAAGGTTCACACAATCTGACAGCCTGTCATGGATAGCTACCCCCAGTGGGTTGTGCTATCTGAACACAGAGTGCTTCCCTCAGAGAGGCTTATTTTTTGGCAACAAGCCACCCTGATGATCTATACCTTGTTCTAAGGGTGTTTGATTCACAGTGGGTTGTCATGTCATCCAGACCCAGGACAGCAATTTCATTACTGGCCTCAGGGATTAGCTAAAACAAAACCTGAAAAAGTAGCTGAAGGGGAAGAAGTAAATGAGGCCCATAGGTGTTGCAGGTCCTGCTGCTCCTGGTACCCAATTTGTCTCTGTTCTACAAGGCACACCCAAAGAAGTCTAGAATCTATTCCAGCCCTTGACTTGGCATAATTCTCCCCTCTCATGATAGTGGAAAATGACAACTGCAACATGAAAAATCAATTTCCTGCTCTGGCCTCAATGAACTGACAAGGCATTGGAAGCAATAGTACTTGTGCTGCAGATTCTCTCCTCTACCTGCCGCATGATTATTCTGTTAAAAGACTCCAGCTGTTTTTGTTTTCATAAACTTCCTTCATGAGTAAAAATCATAGTCAGAGATTATTTAAATGGCTAGAATGTATTTCAGATTTTAATTCTTACTTATGAATTCATAAAAAGCAAATTGATGTGCCTGCTGATTGGTTGCCTGTTTTGTTTGTCTGTTTTTAGGAAATCGTCCTTATATTTTCTTATGTGCTCGTGTACATCCTGGAGAGACTAATGCAAGCTGGGTTATGAAGGGAACATTGGAATATCTCATGAGTAATACTCCTGCTGCACAGAGCTTGCGTGAATCGTATATTTTTAAAATTGTGCCAATGCTTAATCCTGATGGGGTTATCAATGGAAAGTAAGTTTTTCACTTCATTCAGCAGCAGAATTTATGCTGCTTAAACTCTTACAGGTCGTGCCCTCTTTAGATGATGGATATTCAACTCCTGCTCGGCTTGGTGCCTTTTAGAACATCCCTAATGGAATCTTCACCAACTAATAATAGAGCCTTAATATGAGCCAACCAGTTCATTAACCACACACACACGTGCGAGCACACGCACTTCTGCTTTCCTTTTTACATGCCACATTTTGTCTAACCTTCTTTTCAGATACATATATAGAATACAGCTTTGTTAGGAGTTTATCCTTTTCAGGTGTTAAGCTAAAAGGAACAGTAACTTGAGGTGGCTGGAGCAGGATAGGTGTAATGCTGAAATGGTTTTGAATGAACTTCTGTCTGTTACAAGGTGAGGTTGCATTCTTCCAGGAAAGAGAAGATGAGCCTTCCTTCTTCGAAAAGGAAAGAGCTCTGTGTTCCCCTCAGTGCAAGCTACATTCTTTCAGTATCAGGCAGTCAAAAAATGCTAATCTTTCTCCCTTTCAGAAGAATGGGCCAACAAGCTTTACACAGCATTGGGAAAAGCTCCCATCAAAGTTTCAGACTTAAATGTCTGCATAGTGCAATCTTACGAATGTTTTCTTCTGCATGTGGAAGAACATACCTATATGGGGCTTAGGTTACAGTACAAAGGACTTGAGCTGTAAGCATGAATCCTAAGCATGCTTAATATTACTGAATTCAGTAGGGCTCAGTCAACGGTGTGTGTCAGTTGTGGCCAGGTCTTACAGCTGTATGGACCTTAGTAAAAAAAAAAAAAAAAGTATATTAAGCTATTTAATTCCTGAGAAAATGCCCTGATAAGCACTTAATGTATTCTTCCCCAACCTGGTGTCCTCCAGGTGTTTTGGACCAACTCCTTTCAACTCCAGCTTGCATGGCCAATAGTCAGTAATGGTGGGTATTGTAGTCCCAAACATACACAGGGCACCAAGTTGCAGAAATCTGGGCTAGTAGAAAATTTCTTAATTCTATGCCCGCAATGTTCTTTCATCCTGAAATGGCCTGGCCTCCTTCCATCTAATACTAAAGAGAACTAGAGTGGTCTGTGTTTTGCTTCTCTTTTAAGTTTATTAAGGATGCTTTATACATTCATCTTGCTGCCTTTATCTGAAATTTAGTGCCTGGACTTTTCTATTCTCAAATGAGTATTTGTGTGCATTTGATCTGCTTTACTTCCTTGACGTCTTAAAACAATTTGATTCAAAGGACATGCTATTTTCAATCATGTTCAGAGACATTACTGTGAATTCTGAATAATATGAAACAGTAAAGTGACTGTGTCAATAGCTTTGCATTTTTGTGGCCTTCAAGCAGCCTTCTCCAATCTGATGCCCTCCAGATGGATGGAGGATGTTGGGAGTCAGAGGCATCTGGCAGGCACCAGGTTGAGGAAAGTGGCCTTCAGGTAACTGACTGAAGTTGTTAAAGCATCTTCAATATGGTGTAGTGCATAATATTAAAAAGTAGGGGTCGAATCCAGATTTAGCCATGCTTAGAATAAAATCCTTTAGAATCACAAGTTTGACTAATTTAAATCCTAACAAGTTGCATTGATTTTGGTAAATCTGTTCTAAGCATTGCTGCATCTGGATGCAACCCATTAATACAATAGCTATACTAAATCTTAGCAAATCTGTTAAGCATTTTAATTACAGTAGTTTTGTTGCATTATAATAACGAATGGATTTCCTGCGTGTGCACAAACTTTGAAATGTAATTCCAACTGTTTGTATTGAAGGAGCCTACCAACATGAATTTGGTAGAAAGCTGGGAAACAAGTCAAAGTCCCCATTAAAAGTAAAATCAAAAAAGCTTCCAAACATGAACAACAGATTTTACATTAAAAAAATAGAATATGAACCTCATATATTGTTTTTCTTCAGAACTGATTTGAAATCAGAATATTGGGTCCAAGCAGGTTAAGGGTGCATATTTAGACAGCAAAAGGTACTACAGCTTGTAGCATTCTCTAGCCAGCTGTTTTTTTGTCTAAACATACATGCAAGTGCACCCTGTCTTTCCAACATCTTCATTATAGCTGTACATTTTTAGCAAACAAGGCTTAAAGAACTGAATTCAGTGAAGAAGAAGAAGAATTTCAGTGCAACTTAAAATTCCCCACAAAAGTTGCTAATATGAACTTACTGTGGGGTGGGCAATATTTTTATTTGGGAAAGTAAGGTATCACCGGTGTTATATTTCTCCTGTAGTCATCGCTGTTCTTTAAGTGGAGAAGACTTGAACAGACAATGGCAAAATCCAAACCCAGATCTGCATCCCACGATTTATCATGCCAAAGGCCTGCTCCAGTATATGGCTGCTATAAAACGTTTACCATTGGTAAGTGTATCTGTGTTGTTGTTTCATATACCCAGTTTAATCCTGTGAAATCCATGTTCATGGTACATGTGATCCTGTTTGAAAAAACTTTCAACATCTTTCCAGAAGTGTCTGCCACATGCTAGGAGGTGTCTGCCACATGCTGTATGTTTAAATGTGATGACTTTTACTAGCAACTGCAGGCAGATGTGATTGTTCCTATAAAAGTATAAAGGAGAAGGCATTGTTTGCCTTAAGTAGCATTACAAGTAGTAGAAGGTACACAGATGATTCAGTTGTTTCAGGAGCTCCCCTCCACCCTCCTCCAGCCCATCTCATTTCTAATATTGGAGTTGAGCTAGAGAAAAATGCGGTTTGGTTGTGATGGGAGATGGAACTTCCTTTCACCTGGTTTCCCATCAGATAAAAATGAGACCACCAAATTAGACATCTGCCTGACCATTTTATATATGAACCAACAGAGATTAATATCTCTGTCACATCTACTTTGGCCTGATCTCTCCTTATATCATTTGACCCTGTTGATTGATTTCTACTAAATTTTGTCTTTTCCACTCAGATTAGTCTCCTCCCCTCTTCTCTGGTCAGTTTTGGACTGTTCATGCTTGCATCCTCTCTGTAAATGTGTTGAGTTTTGTAACTTGGTACAGTTATGGCAGTAAGAGAGGTGTGGTACAGTTTCATGTCAACTGTGGTTTGATTTATTTTCACATGCAAAATTAACTCCATAGGGCAATCTGGACTTAAACATTGACCAGAAAACATCTGTTTGTCCAGTTTTGGATTGAGTTTTACTGTGGAACAGCTTGTTGGTCACAATAATAACTTTCTCTATTTTGAATGCTAAATATGATTTGCCAGCTACAGCTGAATGGCATTACACGCAACAGAAACATCTGCTAGAATCTAAGTATATTCTTGCAGCTTTTATAATTCAGAGCCCAGTTTGTCATTGGAAGCACTAATTGAGGCTGAGCAGCTACACCAGTCCACAGTTAATGTTTATAAATATTTATTATCATTAGCAAATGATGTACTTAATATTTGAATATTATTAAGTCTTAATACAAATGAGTCTTAAGTGCAAAGGGTATGATAAATTCAAGCATCCATTTTTGCCTAATCAGTGGAGTACTTTGTTTCAGAAGGGGTTACGGATCTCTTTAATTTACCAAAAATTTATGTTTTGTGTATATTGGGCGCCACCAATTGGTTTTTCATAAAGGCTTAATTAAATCAACCAATTGCTGTGGCTGCAGCAATGCATCATTTACACATGTTTTGGCAATGCCCAATGGCTGCTTCCTTTTGGGAGGAGGTAATAATTCAGATTAATTTCGTGATGAAAATTCTTTAATATTTACATATACTCATGCTTGTTTTAAGTATCTGCCTGCCTCTTTGAGCTTAATGCATGATCAATATAAATGGATTTTCCATATCCTTTTGATAACTAAAGGCTAATATTAGAACACTGCATGGATAAACAGCCACCTGCAATAACACAAAGGGTGGAGAACTTGATGAAATGTTTGATCCTCATGTTGTTTTTAGGTGTAATTTACAAATGGACAAATATATAGGTATTTGAGCTGCCTTTGCTGAAGTCTATAGTTAACTATCTTCAATAGTTTTAGTAAACCTTTCCATATATAAAATGCATGGGGATACATAGTATGCATGCATTCATTATAATAGATTTACTTAAATCTAATGCAAGAAAATTGTAATATTTATTTTTTTATTTTAAATTCATTTTCCTTGTTCTGTTTTGTTTGGAATCTGGTTTTGAAATTCTGAATAAAAATAAGTAACCATTTTTTTAAAAATCTAGCTTTTTCTTAAGTTCATTTTCTTCCTGCAAGGAGTGATTTTATCCATGGTTCAGACATTAGAGGAACTGTAGAAGCAAGGAGAGTAATCAGAACCCAAAGTCTCACACCACAGGCTTGGAAGAGGGAATCCAAAAAATCCTTTTGGTTCCTGGGTTGTGCTCCCAGGGACCACAGAATTGCTCTGGGGAAAAATGGATTACTAGTTTTATTCATATTGCTTATTTCACAGTTTCTTCACATTTTGGCTCTGTTCTGACGTAACAGCCCCAATCTCATAAACCACAATTCATCAAGAGGGGAATGAGCTGTATGCTTGTGTGTTCCTTCCTTTTTCATTTTCCTTTGCATACCCAGCTTCAGTACATCCCTCTTCATTTCTTGAACCACAGCTTCCTTTGAAGCCCAAGCAAAGAAAGAGATCCCTCCAAGCCACAATATGAAACTAGGATCTTCTTTCGATGAAAATGTAAATTGGAATTTCCCAGTACTGGCATGATGGGAAACTGTGGTTTGAGATAGTGAAATTGCTGTGCTGAAGCTACTGTGTACAAAGAAAGACAAAAGAGGAAGGAACATGCAGGCATATAGCTCATGCAAGGGGAAGGGAAGTATATGACCTGTTTCAGGCTGGTAAATCATGATACACCAGACTGGAAGTGCTATATCTGAACTGGATGTCGGACTCCTTGTTGTAGAAAATGGATACATCCTGCTACTAAAGGACACATAATACTTTCTTGATGTGCTGGAATGCTGGTGAAAACCACTTTAGCTATAAGATGGATGTATGCAGCTTTTTAATTTCTGAATATTTTTCTTGTAGGTTTTTTGTGATTATCATGGTCATTCTCGCAAGAAAAATGTGTTTATGTATGGCTGCAGCATCAAGGAAACCATGTGGCATACTAATGTTAGTGCTGCCTCTTGTGATCTGATTGAAGATCTTGGTTATAGGGTGAGTTTTGTCTCTGTCTCTCTGTGTGCACGTGTGCGTGTGTGTAGTGTTGTGCCAAACTAGGAACAATAGGATTATAATTTGTATGTACATCTTTGTCTAATATTTAAGCAATATTCACTGGAAAATATCTTGTCAAGAGTACAATTGTGGATATTTAGATATCAAATTCTACCATCCTCTGAAAGAATTTCCGTATTTCCATAATTTCTCTGTGCTGACAAGTAGCACCCAAAGAAACTTTCAGGGGTTGGAAGCATAATCCAGTGGTAGAACATCTGTTCTTTATGTTCAAAATCTCAAATTTAGTCACCAACACTCCCAAATCTTTTTTAATCTTGCATGCTATGATTGGCTAAGGTCTGTGCTGGAGCTGCTGCTAGTCCAAGCAGTAAGAACTGGGGAGATAGACTATTGGTTTTATTTGGTCTGTAGGTAGGTGGAGAGGAAAATATAGTAGAGGAGGGGAAATTGTTTTATAAATCTTTATATGTTTTTCCAGTATGTGAATATTCCAAGTTGCAATTAAGTTCAAAAGTTTTCTAATGCTTCAAACTAACTATGGAATATGAATAGAACTAGCAGCTTAGTTATGGACTTTGACTAAACCTTTTTCCTGTGGAGGCAGCCCTAAGGTACTTGCCGTTGGGCTCAGCTTCTGTGGAACCTTTCCTTGGAGAAAAAGGTGCATCAGAATTCCTAGGAGTGCTTTGGATCACTTAACAAAGAAAAATATTTCTCTGAATTAAGTGGATTCTTGGGTTGCAAGAAGTCAGTGAATAACTTTATGCTCATTGTGTGCATAAAATTGCCCAATCCTATACTTTCTGCATAAAGTAAATACAGTGTTCTGCCATGAATAAAGCCTGTCTTTGGGAAAGTGGTTTCCTTCTGCCTGATACCTTAGTACTAGAAAAAAAGAAATTCAGGGATAGATCCAGCATTTAATTTAGATGATGATTTATCGGGGAATGCATCTGTTTCATAATATAAATAATTTAGTGGCTGAAATGAGTGGATAATTGACAACCAAAACCAAGTTCTTGTTAGGTACTGCCATCTTGTGACAACATTAAGTATACGCTTATTTTTAAAGTACATTTAATTTTATATTTGAATTCAAGTCTCATCTTTAGATTTCCATGCAAAGAAAGGCAGGTGTATGATATAAAACAGTTGTGCAGAGTACATAGGTGTAATTAGAAAAGTATCCTTCTGTTTTCTGCAACTTTTTATCCAACACAGCTGATCATCTTTTAAATGGTCAGATATACTCATTTCTCCCCAGATACATGTTCTGTGTTGAAAGTTTCACAATTTTGCTCAGTTTATACATACTTCATTTGTTTTAAGGTTTATCGTCTAAGCTTTTCAGTAACAAATGGCAGAGTCCCTTCAGCAGAGCTCTGTGCATAGGACAGGTTTGCCCACAGAACAAAATGCAGACATGGCTCCACTCCTAGCCCTTTTCTGTGCCATCCCTTGAGTCTTCTCTCCGAAGATATTCTCTGGAGTTCTGGGGGTTCCAGTTGAATGGAGCAGAACTGCAAGTGGAAAGCAACATAGGAAGAAAGCTATTCCTTTTGCCAGCAGTCTGGATCCAGCCCATGAAAGAAAGACGTTCTTGCATGTAACATTTTCTTGGTTGCAAAATCCAAATAATTTCACAGCCAGTTAGGCATTTTTCAAAAATTGAAATAGGTGGTCCAGTAAGACTCTAATATTCAATGGTTTCTTGACATTAAAACTGTTTCAAATTGCTTTGTAATGCTTTTTTCCTTTAGACTCTTCCTAAGATTCTGAGTCAGTCAGCCCCAGCATTCTGCATGAGCAGCTGTAGTTTTGTGGTGGAAAAGTCCAAGGAGTCGACAGCACGTGTTGTTGTCTGGAGAGAGATAGGTGTTCAGAGGAGTTACACCATGGAAAGCACATTATGTGGATGTGATCAGGGAAAATACAAGGTATAAAAAAAATGGCGGATTACAAAAAAGCATCTCTGGATTTACAGTCTTTGAAAAAGTTGTGCTTTGTTTGAATTACCTTCAGGGGTACATTCAAATATGTGTATTCTGTGGGCAGAACTACACAGTTCAATGAGAATACGTTAAAAATATGTTTCAATCAGGAAAAAAAATGCTTGTGTGATGAGGGGTGCAGTTTGAAACATGCTTCTAGTCCAGATTGTGGCTCTTCACCGGTTTTCTACTAAAAGTCACTCCTACCCATAGTTTCAATTTTAGGGGCAAATAACAGGTGGATGGTGGTAGTTTATCAGGTACAGGGTCCTAGTCTGTATTGGGGCTACAGCATAATTTTTTCAGAATAAAAGTGGTAGATTTAAGCATGCCTTGTAAAAAAAAGGGGGGGGGGTTAGTTTACATAGTAAACTGTTGCTTTGTTCAGACATTACAAGACATGTTTGTACAGGGGGCGGGGTCTCATGTGTGCTCCCTTTTAGCCTCATCCCCAACTGTCTCATATGGAGGAAGATGCTAAGTGCTTTTACGCAAATGTGCCAAGAATCATGCATTGGTGGGAGGGGGGTTTTTTTCTGTACACAGGGAGGTCAGGAGCAGAGGCAGTGCAGCAAGGACAGCAAATATGCCCTTGCTTCTGCTGACGGCTAATAGTTTGAAAATGCAGGGAACTTATAGTTTTGATTTGTTGCTTAAGACTAGTCTGTTGATTGATGTCATCAGAAGAAACACAAGAAAATTTGTACTGAGAGTTGGTTGTGCTGTAAATCCATAATTACTCAAACTAATAATTGAGTGGACACATTTTCCCTCCTTAGGGCTTACAGATTGGAACACATGAACTGGAAGAGATGGGAGCCAAATTCTGCTCTGGTTTATTGCGTTTGAAAAGATTGACATCACCGCTGGAATACAACCTGCCATCTACCCTCTTTGACATTGAAAATGATTTGATTGAATCAAGTTGTAAAGTGACAAGGTAGTACAAATAAAAATGCATTTATTTTTCTAAGTAGTTTATTCACAGGCTTTCTAATGGTAAAGTAACAATAGTAGCAGATATTCTTGCAGGTGAACATTTGCAGAAATTTTATCCAATATCAGCAATATGAACCATTCAGATCCTGATCCCTAGTTAAGCACATTGCTTTGAATTCTTTATATGTTAAACTAGCAAGTCAATGGCTCACTAAAAGCAAGTCCACGAATAAATTCAAAATAAATTTAAAAATGATGGGTTGGAACCTGATTTAGTCATACTTGAAGTAGCACCCTTGAAATGAATGAGACTTAAGTTAGCTATCCTTAACTTAAGTTCCCTTGATTTCATTGGGTCTTCCCTAAATGACTGTGACTAAGTCTGAATCCAACCTAATATGTACTAAGGTAGTTTCAACCATGATGCAGCATTTCTCCCATCAGTTTAGGGGACAGATCCAGTGCTGAAGCTTAGTATCAGAGTTAGTGTTTTATCTCTTAATGAATTGTTTTGTTTCATTCTAACAGCAGGCATCCTTTGAATGTTTAACAAAGAGATGGGCCACTTGTGATCTGCCAAATGTTGAACTACAATTACCATCATCTGCCACCATTGGATATGCTGGTTAGGAATGGTGCAAATTGCAGTCCAACAATAATATTTAGTGTAATTTTTAAAAATTATGGAATAAATGGCTTTACATGAACATATTAGAGCTGAAAACATACTCTTTGGTGTTCTTGCTGTAGCCCCACTACATATGTTTTGGAAGAAGACGAACCTCGCTTCTTGGAAGAAGTGGATTATAGTGCAGAAAGCAATGATGAGCCAGATGTCGATTTGGCAAATAATGCTGGGGATTTTGAGCCCTGTCTTCAAGAAGATGGACTTTCTGACTCTGAAATTACAAGGACACATATGCCTTGAGAGATCCTTGCAACCTAAAGACAAAATACTGTGGCTTATTTAACATGGACATGGTGGGTTATTTAATTTTGGGGCGTTGCACAAGCAAATTAACTGCAGTCAGTCTAGTTCAAAAACAATAAATGTTTCTGGCTTTTAAATGGATCGACACCTGTTTTATTTAAATACTTTAGTTCTTATCCTTTGCATTGAAATTGATGTATGATCTGATGCCCTGCTAAATATTTTTGCATGGCTCTTTGTGTTCATCCCTATAGTCACCAAACAATTAAAAAAAAAAATGGTACATCAGAGGACAGAAGCTAAGCCTTTTTCCTTGGGGCAGTGGCTGCTGGGATAGTTACTAAAATGCCACAGAGTTTTATTGAAATGATCATGTGTATGCTAAAACTCTTTTCTTTCAGATTTTGTGGTTTGTGTTTTGTCATAATGCAGGGTTTGTTCTGCAACAGTTTATTTTGCACTTAAATTTAAAGCAGGATGTACTGACTGGTGTACATCTTGAGCCTTAAATAAAATGTTGTTACATTCTTGAATACCATTCTTGATTTAAAAGAGATAATGATACTGGCATTTTAAATGAAAGGTTAAATTGTGTTTTGCACAATGATTCCATTTGCTAGGGAAAATTTTAGTGGTCTTATAAATAGGTGCATCTGTGTGGACTACACTACTACAGACTGCAGGTGGGGGCTTACAGGTTTGAATGTATCTCCAAATGAAAACAGTTAATATCCACAGAGAACCACCATGTCAGGGAAAAGACTGGGGGCAGGCATATCTTTTCATGACATCCTTCTCTGTGCAAGGATTATTTTTGTATGAAGGAGTATTCAGTCATCTAAGCCTTCACATGCAGTTTGAAGGAGTTTAGTTTCAAGACAGTTCTACCACTTCATTTTTTTGTTTGTTTTTGCAAGAAGTAGGCCATATGTACCCTTGCCTACTCTTAATTATATATTTATATAAAGGTCATAATCTAAAGCACACACTCAAGTTCCTCTTGAATTACATAGCTAATAGGAAACTTGGAGCAAAAGTGTTCCTGGTAAGCATAAGCATTGTGTGTGTCTGTGTGTGTGTGTGTGTGTGTGTGTGTGTATTCAGTGACTAATTGATACTTTATTTCCATTATTTAATATGCACAGAGCTAAAGTGAACTTTGTGTGGGATGGATACCTTCCTTATACTTTTCAGTTCTATATAAGTTTTTATAGAAGGATCATGGTATCTGTTTGAAGTGTTTCAACTGATGACTTAATTGACATACCACTAGAATTTACTTTGTGTCTGATCCAGAGAAAATTTTGCAAGCTTGATTGTTTTAAACATGGCACCTAAGCATGCAGACATAGAGTGCATTTGAGTGGATCTAACTATGTCTCCAAATATGATATGGATTGACTCCATATAGAAAGCCACCGCCTTGAACTGTGAAGAGCTGAGCAGGACTGCCATAGACAGGCCAGTCTGAAGGGCTTTTATCCATAGGGTCACCATAAATTGGAGATGACTTGACCGTGCATAACAGCAACAATTTGTATGAAATCTGCTTCCACCAACACCCCCCATCTTGTTTTACTGATACTTTATTCTTGATGAGACATAAAGAAATGGTATTAAGTCATCAATAGTGAAATTCTTAATATGTGATGATTGGCAGTGAATCTTCCAAGGAACAACCCATCTGATTCCCCAATCCTGGCATCTTGTTTCATGGGAGCTAGTATAAGTAGTATGAATTGTTTGCAACCTAAACCCCACTACTTGAGTAGCACAAAGATGGATATTTTTTTCTTTATTATGCAGTTTAATAAATCAAAGAAACAAAGTTTTGAACAGAAATATGAGAAAAACTTATGAACGTACTAATCAATAACTTACTAATTATTTTAGAACAATGTGCAGTGGTTCAAACCAGCACAGCACTGCAGGGTGTTATGCCTATACAGTTCTTCAACCTCAGCAAAACCAGAGTTGTCTGGATTCCAGCTAATGAGGATATGTAAAAGCCTAAGAAGAACCATGCTGGATTAGACCTAGCGTTGTCTATTCCAGCATTCTGTTCACACAGTGACCAACCAGCTGTCTATAGGAAATACACAAGCAGGGCTTGAACAGAAGAGCACCATTATACTCATGTTCCCCAGCAACTGATGTACAAAGGCATGCCACCTCTGATACTGGAGGTAGCATATAGCTATCATGACTAGTAGCCATATTCTCCTGGGGACATGCAGAGTTCACAGCCTAGCGTAGGTTTAGCCGTTCCTCCTGGCAACATTAGCATCCCTGGAACAGTATGAGAGCATGTCCCAGTCTATATTTGAGATGCATCAGTGACCACCATGCAGTGCCATCTGGTGCAACAAGGTTGTGAATCCAATCCTAAATTCAGGTGTTTTAATAAATGTAAATCTAAGGGGAGTGCCAAAGAAGTCAGCTTATACCTATCTGATGTTTGTATTGTTATAGGAATTGTGAATGTTTATAAATGATGTCGGCATAACAAGCTATATTTCTTTTCCCCATTGTCTGAAGAGAATTAAAAATCTTGCAGTTAATATTTTGAATTTAATGGGCGTATTACCTGTGTTTTTAATTTTGAATATAAATATTCAAAATTAAAAACACAGGTAATATGCCCATTATAAATATTTCAAACTTGATATAAAACACAGGGCAAATCTATGGATTTGAGTTGTATTTTCTGTCAGCCTCTGAGGATGTGCTGATTTGAAGGGGAAATAATCATGCCCATTATAAATATTTCAATGGTAATATGCCCATTATAAATATTTCAAACTTGATATAAAACACAGGGCAAATCTATGGATTTGAGTTGTATTTTCTGTCAGCCTCTGAGGATGTGCTGATTTGAAGGGGAAATAATCAGTACATTATTTCTTTCCAGTAATACAATTTAATGAAGTCTGGAATCCTCCCTTTTAAATATTGTACCTCTCAGGCAAAGGTTGCAATTTGTGCCAACTTTTCAGGTGTGTGTTTAACGTGAAATACTTGTAGATGAAGGAAGACAGCAAGTACTCAATTTCTATAAGGCTGTTGAAACACAAAATACATGTACAAAATTGCACATGTACAATTTGTAGAATTGTACTAAAGCCATGAAGACCACGTTCTAAGATAATTATTCATTGTAATGCTGTAATGATAAAATGTGATGATATTGTTGTGCATGACCCCCAGATATATAATTTCTCAAGCAAAATATAATAAAATTATTATATCACCTGGTTTTCCTACATGTTTTTTGAGGGTGGAATACAGTGAGAAGAATAGAAACAATTCTAACATAGGAAAGTCCTGGGGCTCTTTAAGAGCAATTGCAGACAAACTAAATGGTACACTTGAACAGCAATGAACCTGGTTATCTTGCATGTTTCAGATTCTATTTTTGTCAACAATATTTCAGCAGATTTTTGTCGAATAATGTGTTAGGTATTGCCATCCATAAACAACAGGTTTAGTGCCTTTGGTGCTATAAATATCTCCCTCTTCTTGTGTATCGTTGCCTGTGAATAGGTAATAAGATGTTTGTGCATCTTCAATATTTAAAGGCAGCATAATTCCCATTGCCTTTAACACTTATTTTTTTCATTGGTTGTAGGTTTTTCTATATCAAACCACTGTCAGAAGCACCTCCAGTTTGATAGATCAATTTATGTGTCTGTCTTATCTCTCAGTATTTCAGAGGAGTCTAGAATTGTGGTACAGGAGCTGTCAGGAACTTTGGATGTGTACAGGCAATGCACTTCCCACTGAAGAAGAGTTGCTGACAAACCACCCATATCAAAAATGATTCCTGCACTTTAGTTGTATGTGCTAACTACAGTGTTCACTAGGAGTGAAGGGAGTTTCATGTGTGTGCAGAAAAACTACCAAATAGCCTTAATAAATGCCAGTATATACATTTGTAAATCTTGGAAAAATATATTCAAAATTTGCGAAACAAAGCCTATGAATTAGCAATTCATGGAAACTCAAAAGATGCATTGTCTTTTCATCTTTGAAAATCTGTGTCTTGAGCTCAGGCCCTGCCTCTGGTACTGTTTTATTTTTTATGGTATATAAAATAACAAAGTGAACAATCTTTAATCAAAAATGCCTTTGGTAGCCATCACAAAAGAAAAAATAATCCTTGAACTTTCTTATGCATGAAATGGATGTACTCTGCTATATAGTGTGTGTTGAAACTTTACACAACATAAAAACATCTCTTTGATGAGTTATGCACATCTTTAAGAAATCTTCTCCTTTTTCCCCTCTTTAATTTTATTAGTTCTACATTCCATGTATTGTTCTGGCTTTCACTTTAGAATAAGCCTTTGTAAAGTCCCAAACAAATGTAAAGAGGTGAGAAGATAGCTGTGCACCAGTGCTTAAGAATTCACTTTACTAATTATAAAAGATTAAATTTCCAGGGGCAAGGTTGTTCATTGTGAATTAGACACAAAGATTTAATTTTGCCAGTCTCTTCCCTGTGTGTGTGGCATTTTGCCATTATACAGCTCTGAACTGATGTAAAACATTTGATCCCAAATAAAGGTACTCTCCCACCCACCCACGGTGGACTTCCTATTTACTGCTGTCTTGGTGTTGTGCTTTTTTTTTTGTTAGCGGCTTAGATCTGGCTTCCATGAGAGGTAGGGTTTTGCTTGCAGAAAGTCTCCCTATTTTTGGCAGACTATAGCCACATTCAGCAGCATTTCCTGAGTCTCCATAGCATTTTCAGAGGGTGATGGGGAGTATTGTGGCAAAGGAGTTGGAAAGCTCATATCCATTCATATAGTAGATCCAGCTTAAATGTGGATCCAACTGATTGGTTTATGTTCAATCTGATCAGAATTCAGGTCTGTCTATTTCTCACTTATTTCATTGCTGTACTTTGTTACGTCTGCAATCCTGTACACATGGGAGTCTGTCTAGGGCAGCCTTGTGACCTACTCAGGTCCTCTGTTTGAAGATCTGTCTAGTCCAAGTCCAGTTGGACCATAAGAAGGGAGAGTAGAAGTTACCCATCAAGCATTAGTACCTGATTAAGTTTTCCCACCATGATGAGAAGTATTGCGTTTCTAATTAAATTTAGTAATAACATTCAAATTTGTATTCCTATAAGTAAGTCAGCTTAAGCAAATTTTATGCAAATCTGTAGCCTCCTGTTTCGTGTTTGAATGAAATGATTATGTAGGTCTCTATCCAAAATACGTCCCACTGTGCTCAATGAGGCTTATTGCTGCATGCATATATACAGGATTGCACTGTAGCAGTTATTTTCCTTATCCCAGTGTTTATAGGCCTATTTAGTTCTTAGTTCTTCCCTTACTACTTAGTTCTTCCCTTCCTCCCTGTCTTTCAGTATCACTTTCAAACTTTAGTTTTATTGCAGAAAATGAGTTCAGTGTTGGAAGATGGGTGGAGAAAACACAGGGACAAATTTGCCTTGAATGTGTGGCCAAGCATGAGAGCAAGTTTCTAAAGGCACTCAGGCTGCCAAAAATGACAACTGTGGGTT